TGTTTACGCGCAAGCATAAAGACATTACATATATTGGAAACCAGCACTTTCTAATTACTTTATTTTCCATATCACCAGACTGGGCCACAGCAACGCGTGGCAGGGGACCACTAGTAATAATAATATATCTTATCCGCCTCTCCTTATGGCTTGAGGCGGGTTACAAAACAATACATAAACATGGCAAAAAAACCAACACACACTCAAATATAATAATAATAATAATAATAATAATAATAATAATAGATCTTACCCACCTCTCCTTATGGTGCGAGGCGGGTTACAAAACAATACATAAACACGGCAAAAACACTACAACTACACACACTCAAATATAATAATAGTAATAATAATAATAAATCTTACCTGCCTCTCCTTATGGTTCGAGGCGGGTTACAAAACAATACATAAACACAGCAAAAACACTACAAATACACAGACTCAAACATCATAATAATAATATAATAATAATAATAAATCTTACCCACCTCTCCTTATGGCTCAAGGCGGGTTATAAAACAATACATAATCACGGTAAAATCACTACAAATACACATACTCAAATATAATGATAATAATAATAATAAATCTTACCCGCCTCTCCTTATGGCTCGAGGCGGGTTACAAAACAATACATAAACATGGCAAAAACACTACAAATACACCCACTCAAATATAATAATAACAATAATAATAAATCTTACCCGCCTCTTCATGGTTCGAGGCGGGTTACAAAACAATACATAAACACAGCAAAAACACTACAATACATTCAAATGTATCTCCATCAAAGTTACAGACTAAGATATATCTCGTATGACATACATATTAAAACAGGCAAAACAGATTAAACAAAGGACATGCATTAAAATTCATGTTTATGTTTAAAGACTGTCTGGGTAGACCTGTCGGAAGAGACAGGTCTTCACTTGTCCCTTAAATTCCGACAGCTGATTTAGCTGTCACAGCTTAACTGGCAGGTCGTTCCACAGCTTTGGGGTGGATGGAAAGGTGAGGGTTGCCAGTTGGGTTCTGGCTGGTTGGAGCAGACGCCCCCTGGAAGATCAATGGGACCAAAGTGTGTAGGGCAGATTGTATTAGATAAGGTGATCCTGTAGGTAACCTGGACACAAACCAAAGATCCAAATCAACAACTTGACCTGACTACCTCTGAGGATGCTTGCATAGATGCAGGCGAAATGTCAGGAGAGAATGCCTCTAGAACTTGGCCATATAGCCCGAAAAAACCTACAAAAACCCAGTGATTCCGGCCATGAAAGCCTTCGACAATACATCGACACCTTGTACTTTGCCTGGAAACTCATTGGCAGCCAGTGGAGTGACTTTAGGATAGGTATAATATGCTCACTCCAAGATGTTCTTGTAACCAATCTGGCTGCTGTATTTTAAACTAGTTGGAGTTTCTGAACTTGGTATAAAGGTCGCCCAATGTAAATTGCATTGCAGAAGTCCATCCTTGAGGTTATCAGTACGTGGGCTACCATTTTCAGGTCCTCCAAATCTAGGAGGGGCGCAGTTGGTGGATCAGCTGAAGCTGATAGTAAAAAGCTGATTGTTTTCATCTACCTGGGCTGACATTTGGAGAGATAGATCCATGAGCAGTCCCAAGCTGCAAATGGATAAATATATTCCACATGATCTGCTTTGAATTGGATTATCTGAGTCTACACTGCCATATAATCCAGTTCAAAGCAAATAATCTGGATTTTATAAAGCTTTCTACAAGGGGCCTAAGGCAGATCTGTGTATTTTGACATACTCCATAATCATCCTCATGGGCGGGTGAAGGCGCATCTACACTGTAGGATTAATCCAATTAGACACCACTTTAACTACCAGGGTCCCTGCTATGGAAGTTTTAGTTCTTTTTTTTACCCCTTTTACCCCTTTAATTAATTAATTAATTAATTATTTTTACAATTATATAGACATATATATAAAACATAACTTCACCATTCTTATGACTGTACATTCCCCCCTCCTTTATTCTCTTTCATCCCCATGCTCCCCTTCTCCAGAGCCATTTCTTCTTCTTCTAAAATCCCACCAAAAGTTCTGTTCTTCATGTAGAGGTAAATTCCCATCTTCTTTTTCCCATACTTTTTCTAAAAATCTTCTCCAGATTCTTTCAGAGTCAGTTTTTCCATAGTCCCTTTGATGTTAGTTTATCATTCAGCACCATTCTCTAGATTTCTTTATACCATTCATCAATTTGTGCTGTCATTTCCCCTTTCAAATATTTTGCTATGAATAATCTAGCTTCTGTTAATAGCATGTCTATTAATTTTGCCCCTCTTATTTCCATCTTCATCTCTTTTAATTGGTAGCGATATTTCTGACAGATTTCTTCTAATTTCTATATTTAAAATATTATCAATTTTCCTTATAACCATTTCCCAAAATTCTTGTACATATTTACAATCCCACCACACATGCATATGTTCTAGTTTCCTGACACCTATCTCAAAGTCTAGGAATATATGCATGGACCAATACAATACTTCCTAACATCTATACAATATTCGTGTTTGGTTCTGCTGCAATAAATTTTTCATTCAAAGATACAATTGGAGCCCAAATTATTTTTATTGGGAATGTCAAACAACTATAAAGTATTACACTACATGATCATAGCAGCAAAAGCAGTATATGTTCTGGAAAAAGACAGAACCTCCCAACAATAGAAGAATTGATAGTTAAAGTCTTTATAATAGCAGAAATTGACAAATTAGCAATGATGAAAAAAGAAAAACACAAAAAAAACTTTATCAAGGACTGGGAACCATTTCTAAACTATGAAAAAAAGAAAGGAAAAGTTTTTATAGAAGGCTTCATAATTTAACATGTTAGAATCTATGCAGGGAATTTGTAAATAATAAATATCAGGCCAGAAGGAAGAATAGAACAACAATGTAATAGGAAAGAAGAACGGAATTATATTTGAATGGCTCTAACCCAAGGGATAGGAAGTCACTAAATTGGGAGTGGTGGGAGAAAAGCAGAGCATAACCAGACACAAATATTATTATTGAAGTGCTGTCAAACAGCATTCTACAGTGTAGATCCATCCTGACATGGAGAATTTTCTTTTTACAAAACAACAATAATAACAAAAGTGTGTGAAAACCATGTAAGGATGTATGAACACTGTATTTAGATATTGCCCCTGTTCCATTTGACCTTTTCCCTGTCTTCAGAGGTTAACCACCCTAGGTTTTCAGGAATGCAAAAGGATGCAATATCCCATGATGTTGATCCCCAGCATATGATCACATTTAAAAATGGTGTTCCTGCACAGCTAATGATGTTGGCATTGTGAAAATTGGCATTATTTATTTTGCTATAAATATATAGCACCAACAGTCTATGACAAAGAATGCTTAAAGACCTTGTAAAACTACAGGTCTCAGCATTCCATTGCATTGAGTTACCATAGTTAAAGTGGTGTCAAACTGCATTAATCCTACAGTGTAGACACACCCTGAGATAGTGGTACCTTTGCTTTGTGATACCTCAGTGTGGACCAACTTTGTTTCATGAATAAATATATATAAAATATTGTATAAAATTACTTTCAATCTATGCGTATGTGAAACACAAATAGGTTTGTGTTTAGCTTTGTGTCTCATCTCCAAGATATACATGCAATTGCAAGCATGAAAAAATCTGAAATCCCAATTAACTTCTGGTTTTAATCATTTCACATAAGAGTTATTCAATCTGTACTTTAAAAAAAAAAAGCATGGTTATAAACTAATGCATGAAGATGTGCCTGCCTGTCTGAGGGCAAGGTTTTATGGATTTGATGCAAAAAGCATCAAATCCATAAAAGTGCCGCAAGGTGCTTCAGTTTCCATGCAGCATGCTAAGACTGAACCTTCTCTGGCACTGGAGCTGTTGTAGGGCTGCCTTTTCTCATGGGATAGAACTTGAGCCAAGCACAGTGGAAGAGCAAATGGCACACAAAAGGGAGTGTGTGACACTGGCAAAAATGGAGAATTGGTGGTCGTGATCATACAGGTTCAGAATCTTATGAAACATTGAACAAAATGTGTGTTGACTACCATCGGAAAGCAAAGGTGTCACTATCTCAGCCACCCATGTATACAATTTTGGATTCTGAAGGGGTGCAAATGGTGGTAGGGTGTATGTATATTATGATACTAATAGAAATAGTTGAATCAAAAGACTGGGTAATTGTCCCCCCAAGATGAACTGTGGTTGGATGGAGGGTGTGAAGACATAGCTTTAGTAATGTGTGAATGCCACACATTTATAGCAGAGTTCCAAGCTAAAAGTGAAGGAATGTTGTCCAACCACCACATTCGCTGCAATAAGGGATGCAGCACTATTATAAAAGTGAATACTTAATACTGACATAGTACTTTTCTAGGAATCTCTAGGTCCTCCATCACAACTACAAGATGGATTGGATTATTGGATTATGTTTTATTACAGCTGTTATGATTTTATTGATGCTAAAGTTTTTATATTGTAACTGTTTTTGGTGGCATTGAATTTTGCCTTGCAAACCGCCTCGAGTCGCCGGAAGGCTGAGAGGGGCTGTATACAAATACTGCATATAAATAAATAAATAACTCTGTGGCCGGCTTCCACATTGTAGGACCTAGGGATTTCCTGGGGAGAACATTTTAATCAATTTCACAGTAGTCAAATACGCCAATGTGAATGGCTGACAGTATATTGCCACTTCATAGGTTGTTGTTGGTAAAGAATATGTAAAAATATTTTAAATACTTGGCTAGAATTACTGAGATCCATCAAGTGCAATTCACTCTAGCACTAAATCTACTAGGTGATTTTGACCATTCATTTTTCTTTCTCACCTTAATTCATCACAATATTTGTGGAAAAAGTAGAAGGGAGGGATTTGTGATTAAGAGAAGATAATTAGCAAATACAGGATGTGCAGCAGTACAGTTACAGTATTGGGGAAATAAGTGTACACCAATGGAAATATGAGTGAAGGAAGGAACAACGTTCCTGTAGGAAAGATAGGGAAACAGTGAGATGATAATACAGTGGTTAGGGATGGACTGAAAAGGGGTACATAGTAGTTTTATATACTGATGCTCATAGAGAATTCTTGTTCTAAAAGGCAGGATATAAATTGAGGGAGGGATAGGGTTGCCATGGGTTAAAATTTGGTCTCAATAATTTTTACACACTGCAAAAGGATAATAATCCATCGTTGAATACTGTTGTGGGTGAGGTAATTTAAAGCCTTTTAAGTCCTCTTGTCATGCCAAGCCTGTCACAAGAACACAAGAATTTCCTTGCTGGAACAAATTAAGTATACCTAGCCAAGCATTTTTGTTCTATAGCCAGATGTTTATGGCTCATAAGTGAATTATCTCTTCAGAGATATCTATTGTGTATATGTGAAAATTCTTAGTCATCGATCAGATCTGTTCTCCACAAACTTACCATAATGTACCTATCTAGCTGCTCCTGACATGAACCCCCCCCCTATCTATTTTATTTTGTGTACCCATATTTCATGAGAGGGTGGATTTCTTGCCAAAAGTTGTGGTGACTTCGGTGTTGAGTTTCTTTCTCATCCAATTCAGAGTGTTTCTTTTGTTGTCCACTTTCAACCAAACTGCTATTATGGAATGGGTGAGAAAACGTTTAATGTATGCTGGGTTTTCATAATTAATTGAATTTGAACAATAACCTGAACAGCAGATCAGTATGTCTTTAGGGGGGAAAGATCCAGCAAAAGTTTTAGATCATACAGCCTCGAAAAGGATTTTCACTGTTGAGTGAAATAGAAGCTTTAGGTGGTATGGAGCAGGAAAACATTTTCCTGAGGGCTCTTTACTTCTCTAGTTGCTACCACCATGATTAATATAGTCCATTTCTTGTTTGTCCTATTAATTCTTTTTGTTCAAAGTGTGTCTGGTTTGCATAGGGAGGCCTATAGTTGACTGGCACCAATAGTCACAGGAAGAGCCAACCTGTTGCTTGTACCACTATCCTAGTCTCAGTAATTTCCATCTGATGAGTTCTGTTTCCCATTTACTCCACTTTGTGGTACTTTGTATACAAGATCTGATTTTATATATTAGAACTGTTTAAGAGAATCTGTCTTATTGTCTCAATACATCCTGCAGATCAGTGGACAGCTCTCACCTCGTCTGTTCCGTAAGCTGCCACCAAGGGTTTGCGTGTCTCTGAAGAGCATTGTTGATGAACATTTCTTATGCGCAGGGTAAGGTTATGGTGCGTTATTCATTGATTGATCTGTCATAGGGCACTTTCATGGGTGTAAAAGGATTCATTGCATCTGTGGCTTGTGAGAGTCCTGTAACCAGAAATTGGATTATTATTGTTATTTTGTTTTGCAGGCACATATTCCTTGGTTTCTCTAAATGTGGAAGATATGTCCTGTCCTACACAAGCAGCAGTGGTGATGATGACTTTTCCTTCTATATTTACCATCTCTACTGGTGGGAATTCAATGTCCACAGCAAACTAAAAATGGTATGGGCCGTGGCAAATATGAAGTAATACCTCCTGCAACAGTAAAAAAATGTGGAAAGTGGCTTGACTTGCAGAATTAAGAACAGCTTTTCTTGTTTTGGTGAAATTCTATAGAGGCAGATGTGAGCTTAAAGGATAAACTACCTTATCTTAGCAGCAAAAGGCAATGGGTGTGATTTTTGTGCAAAAGTGCAGATGCAATCCTATCAAGTAAATGGCGCTTTATGTTTGTGACAGTTAATTGTAAGGATTTTAATTCCATCTGCAGTTGAGGCCCAGGTGACAGTTATTTCCAGTATAAAATACTTGACATTTGTTCTTTTGTCTTCATGATAATTAAAATACATTTGGTTCTTTCTTTCTATTAATGCATCCACAAATTTGCCCAACCACATCTCAATTTATTTTTAATTCCAAGAAATAACACCTTGATTTAGTTGTATGCCAAGCACTACACTGATATGTATGCATTCCATGCTGTAGCCTCCCACCATTTCACAGATTTTCAGGCACTCTCCAGCACTCATTTGCATTAATAACCACCATGTATAATGGGACTTCAGCATCTATCGATTTTGGTATCCATGGGGACATGGTTCTGGAACCAAACTCTAGCAGACACCAAGTGATCACCCACTGTACTGTCAGAAATCTGAAAGCTGCAGTTTACCAATCTGACTAACAAAGGACTTCAGGTTTCCAAAAACAAGTGTCTTTAAAACCAGCTATTGTTTCCAGTGGTTGTCACATTTTTATATAGTTCTGATTGTAAAGCATCTGTACATTGTTGAGACATTTGTGCTCCATCAAAATAATGAATTACATTTAATATTTTACTTAGTGACTTGGATTTAGTGTTTTGGCTAGATTTCAAAAGTAGGTAAAGTATAGGTATCTGTAATATTTTTTTCATGAGTTATTTTTTTTACCTATTTATTAACCAAACATTATAGAATGATAAGAATGTTACATATTGGCAATATATATATTGGCTGAACTGTTATTCCCAATGTTTTTTCTCATTTTGCCAGCCTGGTAGGGATTGTTGGAATTAGAACCCAGAAGATCAGATGGGTGGTGAGTTCCCCACACCAGAGTAAAATTAGATTTCAGTAAATACTGATAAGAAATAACACTATTAAAGAAATTCCTAAGAAGGAGAAACTAGGAGTCCATTAAGGCCATACTTCCTAGGGAAGAATGTGTTACATCGCTCTTCACTGCTGAGTCAGGACTAGTATGCACACATTTCTTTCAACAACTGGTGCATTATAGGATAGGTTTTTGTAATGCTGTATGTTGTGCAGGATTCCTTTTTTATTGGTGTGTGTGTTGGGGGGGGGGAGTCATTCGCTACCATGCATATTTAATGTAAGTAGCTATATGTTCCCACCCATAAAGACTAAAATAACCTGTAAAACATAGGTGGTTGTACAACATAGTAATTAATTTCCTTGTTTTTAATCAATAAAAAAACTTAAGATCTTGTTGCCCCCAAAAGTCGTTCCTAAGTTCTGCATTCACTGTAGATTGCCTCCTCTATATTACCCCCCTTGTGCTCAGGGGAGCTTTTCAAGCGGAGCACCATTCAGATGATACTTCTGCAGAATAGAAGTTGGATGCAATTGGTGGTTTCATTACCCAAAACATTTGCTAAAATTATTGGGCTTGCCAATCCATTGGGGGACAGAAAATGAAAAATCGCTGTTAAAATTTTGTGAGCTTGTTAAACGTTTTACAGCATATATGAAATTAAAATAATAATACATTATTATAAGAGTCATGAGTGCAATTCATTGAAGGACTTGTGGCTTGTGATGATTTGAAAATAGTAGTTTGCAACAGAATCTATGACTCCTTTGCCTCTGCTCCAGCATCCTCCGTCCTAGTAAATCAGGAACCTCTCACTTACTCTCGCTGGAGATAATAGAAAGAAGCATGAGCATGCGCAGGACTCTCCTGATTGTGTGGGAGGAGCTGGGAGCTGCCAGATGCACCCTGTCATGCTACCAACACTGGCTAAAAGTAGGGAGCTGATGATGCACTGCTTGGGAGTCCCCCAGTAAACAAAGACAGTGACACCCCTACTGTTGTTGCTGGAATTGGCATGCTTGCAGCCAAATGTTCTGAGAGAAACCTGTGCCAGCTCAAGCTCCTGGACAGTTTAACATGCGTACATTTTTCCAAAAATAATAGACTGAATCGGTTGCTAATTATTTTGAATAACACCACTGGATACAATCAAGTGTCTACTGGATCTGCACCCATGAGTATTGAGCCTTAAATTCTCTTTGAAAAAGCTGTGTCAGCTTTTCGTCACCAAAATTTGTCCCTTTATATATATTTCAAATAATTGAATCTTTAATAATACTTTTTGCAAATTTTGGGATGCATTTTGGGCTTTGAACAAAGTTGCGGGCCGTTGAATCTAAACTGGTAATATTGCTGCATTTATGCACACAACCATATATTTGGTGTATATTTCATTTTTCAAAATTTTATTTTACAAAAATACCGTAACCCAGTTGTCAGTAAAGCATTGACTTCAGAAGATGCTATAAACTGCCAGCAAGGTGGTTTATGCTTGCGTCTTTCCACGCAGTGTTTCATTACGAACAGACAGTATTAGTCTGGCTTTGGGAAGTTCAATCTTATTTAGACGTTAACATAAATAAAATACATTTACAATAGCAGTGAACTGGTATGTAGTCCTCATGAGGCACACATTATTTTCTCTCTAAACCAGTACTAAAAATAAGCTTGAGCAGCTGGGTATCTTTTGGTCCTTGGCCCCGCAACAGGGTTACAGATAGTCATGTTTACACTGTTATAATTTCCACTTTTTATAGCAACACCTTGTTCCGTTTCCTTTAACTCTGGTCTTGAGTTTATAGTATTGTATATGTAGGTCAGAAACTCAATGTGAAAGCAGATTAATGTCAGCCTTATTATGTAGCTTGATTGAATCAAATAGTGTCACAAGCATTAGCTTGATAGAACAGGCTATGTTGGAGTAATATTTTTTACTGTGTAGTTTGTTGTTTCATTGCATCTCGTTATTTCTCTTCTAAAGACTAGCTATGTTCTAGCAAGTAGTAGTATTTTGTTGCTCTTTCAGGTTCGTCAGGTTCGGTTGTTCCAAGATGAAGAAATCTACAGTGACCTTTATCTGACAGTGTGTGAGTGGCCCAGTGATTCCTCCAAGGTCATTGTCTTTGGTTTCAAGTAGGTTTTCCTTGAATCCTTGAGTTTTGAGACTGAGACTAGAATTACTACTTGAATATTCCATGTTTCTCTGAGAAGTAGTCATCCAGTATACCTGTTTGGGGCTTTCTGGGCTATTTTATCTTGTATTTTGCTAGATGTTGTAAATATATAAGCAGGTGGATTACACTCCCACATTTTAAACTGAATATGGTGAAGAGCCCGATATTCAGAGATGAATCCCAAACACTTGGATCTAATATGCATGTGTGCTATGTTATTATGGACAAATACATCTATAATAATAATAATTTTATTTCTTACCCGCCTCTCCCCATGACTCAATCCCACCATTATTGGTTTGTAACTTGGGGATTTCCTGTACACATAGCCTAAAGGTAATTGTATACACAGCATTTTTAATGATGATTTTGTGTTTGATTCAAAGTTTGTTTACATTGGCCCTTCAAAAAGCAAAAATGTCATACAGCCACCCATGTGGACAATTTCAGATTTTGGAGTATTTTTGAATTCCAAATAAGGAATGTTCAACTTTTTTGTTACCCAAAAGGCTAATGGATGTCGCTTATTTTTAGTTAGGTTAAGTTAGGATCATACAGCTCATTGCTAACTTAGTAAGTGCTCTCCGTTTGAAGGTTGCTGCACATTCTTGTAACCTATTCTGAGCAGACACAGTGGAAATAGAAATTATTTCTACTACTTCTTTTCCGGATTAGTACTCGTTCAGCTAATGGCCTGCTCATGAACATGATGATGAGTGATGAAAACCATCGAGATATCTACATTAGTACAGTTGCCATGCCTCCTCTCACACACTGCTCTAGCTGCAGGGATATGGCCATTGCACATCCAGGTGAGTGAGCCATGATATTGATGGCTATGTTTTGGCAGGGGGCTCTGAATAATACAAGCACCCAAAAGTGTTAACTCGTTTATCATCAAGATATTCTTCTCATCATTTCCTCAAAATACTTTGCTTTGTTTGCAATTGAAGTTATTTATATAAAATATACTACATGTTTCTTTTAATGGCCCCAGTGTTTGATGCAAGGCATTCAAGATGTGTAATAAATTTGCCAAAAGCCACAGTGTTGCTGTGTAACTTCGGACATTGGTCTAGTCTGAGGGTCAGAACACTTATCATATATAGTGTTGTATACATCGTGTATAAATTGAGGGCAGGATTTGGGGCCAGAATTATGCATTATTATATGATATATGGATTAATCAAGGGTAATTCCATGTAAAGGGGAAAGCACCAGTGGTACTGTCTTTGCTATTTTTGTGCCAGTGGTATCGCAGCAGAGAGAGTAAAGGAGATCACTGCTGCTTCTAAGTTCTCCCAGGATGGACAAAGCTCTTGCATTTTGCCACTTTACTCAGAGAAGGTGATGATGATTCCTCCTCCTCCTCCTCCTCTCCTTTTTTGATAAGAGTTAATGTACAGTAGCTACACTGACCCAAGATTTTTGGACTGATATTTTGACTAAAATGTCTAATCTTATACCTAAGTATATATTACTTAGGTATAAGTAATTAGGTAAAAATTTCCATCCCAGTTATATCCTACCTTGCTCATGCCCAGCATTATTTTTAAATTTTAAATTTGGCCCAGCCTTAGGTTTTAAATGCTTGTTGTGTTACTGTACTGCTTTATTTTAGTTTAGTTTAGTTTATGAGATGTATTTTAACTGTTTTTGTTATTGTTTGTTGCTATTGTTTTATTATTGATGTGTTGTGGGCTCGGCCTCATGTAAGCCGCACCAAGTCCCTTGGGGAGATGGTAGCGGGGTATAAATAAAGTTTATTATTATTATTATATAGTAAATTTACAGAGTGATTCTGGAAAGGGGTCATCTGAGTCCCACAGTGGCTCTTTTGGGAAAAAATTCAATCTCCTGAAGAGTGTTTTATAAAGAGCAACTCCTGATGCTCAACCAGTCACTGTGTTCACGTTGTCTTTCCTGGTTCTGATGCATTTTTTTGCGCACATTGCACAGGTGACCCCAGTGCCAAGTGCTTGCAGCATGGCTTCATGCTGCACACGAAATACCAGGTGGTGTACCCATTCCCCACATTCCAGCCAGCATTCCAACTTAAGAAGGACCAAGTAGTGCTGCTTAATACCAGCTACTCTTTGGTGGCCTGTGCTGTTTCTGTGCATACATCAGGTAAGAAACTGTGGTACTGTGCGTGCAATATGACACTTCATGAATTCTTTTCTCTTTGGATAGCATGCCCAGTACCATCCTATGAGATTTCCAGTTCCTACGGAGTTGTAGTTTAAAAGTGTGCATACTTTGGTTGTCCTGAGAAACAAGATCATTCATACTTGGGAAATTAGCTTCAGAAAAACTGTATCACCATATTGTAAATTAACCTTAACCAAAGTATTTACTTTTGAGGAGTGGAGGACACAGATGTTTTTCCCCTTTTCTCACCGAAGATTGTTTTACATGTAATCCATGCAGCTAAAAATCTCGTTGTACATGTGCAAAGCTTGCATTTATTCCAAAAATTCATTGATCCTGAAAAGATCTCTGATAGGATGGTGATAAGAGAAAGACAGCATCATTTGCAAGATCCCTTTGAGAGGACTGAATGACAGCTGTTTACTTAAATGAGAGGAAATAATTGGAGTGCACTCAGAATTGATTAGAAAGGGAGCTGAACACCCTCCTTGGTGATAGCCATTAACATTTTAGCTTCTATCAAGATATTGGTTAATTTATTTATTTGGATCAAATAAATCACATTTGCAGTATTGTTCAATCTAGGTTAGGATAATCTATCCAGCAGATCTTTAGATGCTTGGGATCATATAAAAATGGTTGTGTGATGTGTATATTCTGACTCTGGGCTAAGTCAATTTCTGTGCTTGCATGATGATGAAATGTCCTTTTTTATAATTGTGAAACCTGCATAAACAAAAGGCAGGCTTGAAGATTAAAGGGGTGAGCCTATAATGGTCTGGGGCAGGGAATATTAAATGTAACCATACATCTTCACTATACATTCGATCTTTTGCTATAGGGTGCAAGTAGATTACACTAGCTAAATAACTTGCGGTGAAATTAATATTAATAATGTTAATAATAATAATAATAATAATAATAATAATAATAATAATAATAATTTTATTTATATCCTGCCTCCCTCCCCAAGGGGACTCAAGGTGACTAACGGTCACACATTTAGATCAGTTAAAATACAATAAATACAATAAAAATGAATTTTAAAACACCCAATTCCCCCCCCCCCCCCACACACACACACACCAAATCTCACCCACAACCTCTGCTTTTAGTAGCAATTGTAAAATATGTATGCAGATTTGCTGAAAAATTTGCTGTACATTCAGACTTCTGGATCTTTTGTTTCCTTGCAGATGAGAACAGCTTTTCCCAAATCCTTTACAATCAGAGTCGCCAGTCCTGCTCTCCTGCTGGAGAAGGTAGCCATACAAATCTTGTGCCACAGACCCCTGTGGGCTCTGAGAAAGTGCCGGAAAGAGACAGCTGCCCTTCACGGAGTGGAGATGGATTGCAGCCACCACCTATTGCTGTGCCTTCACAGGACATAGAAAACCATGACTCACCCGCTGTGGCTATGGCTAAGGAATTTGTAGCGGACATCTTCCGGAGGGCCAAGGAAGCCAAGGGCACCAACCCAATGGAAGTGGAGTCAGGCAATGGGTTTGAATGCCTTCTTGATTCAGGTGGCACCCAAAGCCAGGGCACATTAACTTCTTGGGATCTTGGGAAGACTTTAGGAACTTGCTTGCATGGAGGTGGCACTCGCAGCTCCACATCTTCTGCGGCAGATAGCCTTTCAGATGTGGGGGGATCTCCCAAAAACTCCCCCAGTGCTCATTCTGAACTGGAAAACCAGCTTGCTGAGCCAGGCTATGTGAACTATACCAAATTGCGCTATGTCCTGGAGCCCAATGATTCCTCTGAGGCTGAGGAAGGTGAGTGTGACTTTTAAACTAAAGCTCAAAGTGTGGGGAAGGAAAGTATTGGATTAGATCTTCTAGGATCAGGGCCTCTGAATATCAAATGTATTAAATCTCTGTAGCTCTTCTGGTGGAGAAATACCATAGATACTTGAGTATAAGCCAACCCGAATAAAAGCCGCGGCACCTAATTTTACTACAGAAAACTGGGAAAACGGATTGACTTGAGTATAAGCCGAGGGTGGGAAATGCAGCAGATACTGGTAAATTTCAAAATAAAAATAGATATAAATACAATTACATTAATTGAGGCATTAGTAGGCTAAGTGTTGTTGATTCTTTACATAAAACTGTAATTTAAGATAACACTGCCCAACTCTGATTAAACCATTATTCTAACCTTCAGTGTAAATGTGCTTACATATCCTTCCAATAATAATAGAGTAAAATAATAAATGTAATAATAATAGAGTAAAATARTAAATGTAATAATAATAASAAGAAGATSAASAASAACMACAGAGTAAAGTAATAAAYACCTTGACTCRAGTATACACCWAGGGGGACTTTTTCAGCCTTAAAAAGGGCWGAAAAACTAGGCTTATACTTGATTATATACAGTWTYTTYCCAATGAAATGCCACTGTATGAGACACACATTGCTTCRTTCAAGGGAAYRGTTTGTCTCCAGYCTTAGGAATGTTTTGTCACTTYATACCTTGGGGAGTTGTGTGCTTGGTCCCCCTTTTTCAGTTAAGWTYGAAAATCAGTTCAGCACTATRRTGTGAYTATRCAAGGAGCTTTTTTCCCTGGAAATATWGTGTRTAACATAAGAATTTAAACATTCCCTTCATCTTTTGCTGATACGTAGCTGTGAAGTGATTTATGCTGAGGTGTGGATCCTAGCTGACATAGGCTTAAATAGACCAAGTAGTAGTGTTGTTCTAGTGTAGCAGCTAATAGACCTAATGGGGATTCATATTCCTGTTCTTGGAACTCAATTCCATATTTATATGTATATTTATTTTACATTTTTTTAGCAGCCATCATCACATAAGCATCATCGGCACTCAAAATCCAGCTTTTCTTGGGAAGTTTTAGCATTTAGGAATGATAAGATTTGTCTTCCATGTGCATCTCTAGCTGTTTTAAGCAATTTGGTTTGATTGCATGGGGACCAGCTTTACACACAATACGATTTCTCTCAGCTCTCTGAGCTACATGTTAGCATTGGGTGTCCTTCCTGTGGAACTGACCTTGTCAGTCAGTTGCTGTTGCAGTTCTTGACTTCTTTTCCTGGAACAGAAAAATTCAGTTTGCATTACTGGTCACTGCTTTAGTCCTATACCGGATGTTTCCCAGGTGAACCTGATATATCCCATATTGGGGAATTATCTAACCCTTTGAAATCAGAATGGAAGTTAATTTTGAGTGGTAATATTTGCTGAGACTATGCCCATTTGGACTTTGCTAGGGATAATGGTAGAAGGATATAAAGATATACAGTTTCATGTAACTGTTTTTCCTTATACCCAGCAAGCTTTGCTTCTGAGCGTTGTTTGACTTGTGTTGGAAGGCAGGTATGATTTTTTTTTATACAAATGCAGTTTTCTGTAGTGTTGAACTGCAAAATCTGTGAGATCATAGAAGACTAACACTGTAACTCAATTGCTTCTCAGGATGATTTCACAGAATATGTTTTTTTTAATATTAGACCTAGATGTCTTATCAATATAACTCAACTGATATAGGGAAACATGGGTTTGGTTCCTCCCCATCTGTAAAACTTCTACATTGCTTTTGGTCTTGCCGCTCTCTTAATGAACCTGAGATGTAAGATGACAGGAAATTATAAAAAACTTGGTTGCCCTGAACTCTTATGCAGAATTATGGGATATATTGTCAAAGGCTTTCATGGCCGGAATCACTGGGTTGTTGTAGGTTTTTCCGGGTTATATTGCCATGTTCTAGAGGCATTTTCTCCTGATGTTTCGCCTGCATCTATGGCAAGCATCCTCAGAGGTAGTGAGGATATACATTGAAATGATTGTTGATTGTGATGATGAGCAAAAGAAGTATGTATTGAAATCCAATTGCAATGTGTAAAACATTTTAAAAGGTATTTCAAGCAATTAAAAAATACACTGTTGTGGTTTGTATTGAGCTTCAAAGGATAGGACATTCTGCAAAATGTGGCAAAAGTGCGAAGGAGACATAGCTGTGAAATACAAGAAAGGTAATATTGAGTTTGGAAAGAAGGGAAAGGTCCACCTGTGACTACTGGGCTGTTTTGAAAAGTTTGGGTTGTTAAGTATATATATATATGTATGTATGTATGTATGTATTAAAAAGATTCCATTGGATCATCCTGTTCCATGAGATCAGTTTCTTTTGGCTATAGCTCTCTTGCTGTTTTGGAAGTCTTCATTTTTCCTAATATTAAGCTTCCTCTAAATAGCTGTATCTTGAAAACGATTTCTTTGGCACTCTATGCACTTACTCTTTACTTGGCTTCTATGCTTCCTTTCAGAGTATGAAGATGACAAGATCTCCTTGCCATTTGTTGTGACAGATCTCCGAGGAAGGAATTTGAAATTGCTGAAGGAGAAGGCTGTTTGTCAGGTACTTTTTGCAGGCTTCCTGTCATTGAAAGAAGAGTGGCTGCTTTCTAAGAAAATTGTACTAAAAGGAATATTCTTGACTTGGAAGTCCTTAAAAATTAGACTTCCTAGCAGCCTTATGGTTGGCCTGCTTTATAGTTAACAAAGATGATTCAAACTCATAAGGAAAATGTTATATAAACAATTGATTTAAAGCATGCTTTTTATGTACAGATATGTTTCTTGTCTGCATTTTAGTGCTCTGTTCATTGTATTTAGCTTTCAGTGTATGACTTGCTTTTATCTTAAGCTTAAGTGCCAATTCTTTATGTTTACTTCTTAAATATATATTCACTGTTTGGTGTGGCAAACATACTTGAAAAAAAATCAATCAATTATTTATTTATTTATTTATTATTCCGAACATTTTTACCCTGCCCTTCTCAACCTCTAGGGGGACTCAGGGTGGCTTACAATTGGCAACAATTCAATGCCTCTTCATAAAATACAATAGCAAAATAACAATTAAAACCATGAACATTAAAATAAAAATTAAACAATATACTTGCAAGGATATACTTAGCTATACCCCTCACATGCACAGGGAAGGCAAAGATCCCAAGGGATATACTTAGCTATACCCCTCACATGCACAGGGAAGGCAGATATCCTGTTTTAAATGCAGTGGTTAGGGGTTTTATTCATTTTGAATTAAATTCTTCACAAATTGAAAAAAAAACATATGCTGTCTAATATGCAAAACAACCTGTCTGTTGAGAAATAGACCATAGAGAAGTTTTGGAATAGTTACAACAGAAAACAATTTTCTAAGTATAATTGAAACTTCCCCAAGCTCTCATGAAGCCTTAACTTTGAAATTAACCTCTTGGAAATTGGACGTTATTTTTGGAAAGTTGTGTATCCTGTAGTTATCATGAATCAGGGGTAGCGTGTTGATGAATGCCTTAAAATGACAGTTCCAACTTCAAGCTCTTTGGGGGTTAATATCTGTTCATGTCTCTCAAAATCTGAACTGAGCTAATAGAATTATTTCAAAAAGGCATGTTGTATTGCCCTCCAGTGACTGCACTGTAGGAACGTACTTATTCATTTGTGTGTACTTCAGAACATGGACGCATCAAACAATATGAATGGTTTAAAAAAAATCTCTGAGTTTAGAAAACTGGAGCATTGGAGAGAATCCCGTAAAACTCATTCCCAAAGTGTAATTTTTTTGGTTGGTTTGTCCACCATTGATACAATTCAAAGATATATTGCAACTTGTAACTGAGGCTATTGCTTTTTAATTTGTGGCAACTTCTAATAGTGGTTAGCATGTGCTTGAACACTGATCAGTCCATTGCATGTGTTTTGTAGTCCTTGAGGGATTTGCAGTTCCGCAATGTATGGAGGGTTGCTTCATTCTTAACCCTGTAAATGGCCTGAATTTCATAGAGCAGAGCAGAGCAGAGCTGATGTGTTTGGACAATATGGGGAGAGAGGACTATTGAATGCAACCTCAAAAGTTGGTGGTTTGCAAATAGGGACCTGTGCTGTGTCCTGTAAACCCGACAGTTAAGGGTTGTCATCTGGGTGAGGCTGTAGCAAACTGGTGAAGCAGATGTGTTTCTTCTTTCCTTTCTAGGGACAATACTTAACAGTAGAGCAGCTGACTCTGGACTTTGAATATGTCATTAACGAGGTGATCCGGAACGATGCTTCATGGTCTAAGCAGTTCTGCTCCTTCAGTGACTATGACATTGTCATCTTGGAGGTAAGCACACAGTAGGCGCGGGATCAGACCACCGGCCTCATTTGGAGGCAGATGGGACCATATCTTGCCTTTGAGGAACCTTGTGGTTTCCTGGCTGATGGCAAGGTAAAAATAACCATCTCCTTTGAGAGCTGAGAAAGAACTTCATGTGATCATATTTTTGGTTCTTAGCAGCTTTGGTTCACATTTTGGGACAAAGCTTAAAACATTTCTTTTAAATAAAATAGCTGAACTATTTTGGGTTGGCATGCATTGCTGCAGTGATGTCATCAGAGTCTCTGGCACTACCTGGAAATACTACTTTGATACCTCTCCATGATGAAATGAAGGTGGGAAGATCGGGAGCCATCCTTTTCATTTTATTGACTAGCTTTTGTGGGAAATATTTTCCTTAGTTACTTGGGAAGACTTGGGCTTTCATGGCAGTAGTATTGATGTATTTATGATACATGTGGCTTAAAGGCGCTGGGCTGATTTTTGGAATACAACCTTAAGTACATTTTGAGATGTGGTCTTTCATTAACATTAGATATCAGTTAATGTTTCTAGTCTTTTCTTATGTATCAGGACTGGAACATAAACTATGGTGGGGTTTCAGTCATTTTGATACGAAATAGGTAGGGGATAAGCTGCAAGTGTAAGGGTAAGAAAGGAAAGCATTTTCTTCTGTGTAACCATCAACCCAATTTCTTAATTTTGAAATATGTACATGACTTCCTGCTGCTGGTTATTTCTCATTTTGTAAGAGGTGTATTTGCCAGATTAGAAGTGGTGCTGATGTTCAGAATTCAGCTTTAGCAGAGGAGCAAGAAAAACTAAAATCTCTCTCATTTCTCAAAAAACCTCCTCGTTCATCCTTAAAGCTTTATTTTCCGTAGCTGAGAGTAGGGTAGAGTTATGATCTCTTCTGGCAAGGTTACCAAGTCAAATTTAGCTTTTGAACTTAATCTGCATTTTAACCTGTGTTTTAACTTTGTGTATCTTGTATTTTGATAGTGTTTGTCCCTTTGTTTTAACATTGTTCTGCCCAATCTTGGGCCACAGGGAGAGGCAGGTTATAAATAGATGATGATGGTGATTATTGTGGAGGGAAGGAGAATTCATTCCTAAGCATCTTCTCCAGAGACAGTGTAGCACTCTCAATGGTTTAGCTATTAGTTCTGCTACCTAAGTAATGCTTTGAACAGACTGTAGAAGCAGCAGAATGGAACAAGCACAATTTATTCAATGCTCAGTATTCAGGCCAGTTAATTCTGAACTTCTAGAATCCAGCAGTGAGTGAGTTCTAGTTCAACCATTTGCCTTTCCTTTCTTTCTAGGTGTGTCCAGAAACCAACCAGGTTATCATCAATATTGGACTCTTGCTCCTGGCTTTCCCTTCCCCGGATGAAGAGGGACAACTCAGGTGAGTCCTGTCCATTACTAGCGTTGCTTAAGTTTATGTTTGTCACCTCTTTTACTGATTGTATGTCATATTTGATGTGCCTCTTATAAGATTTTGGTATACAACATAAGTTGTTGAGGCAGAAGGGAGCAGAGTAACATGGACACGGGATGGGGAAGGGATACATTTTCCAAAAGGAATTATACGTCCAGAGATAAATAGTTGAAATAACCCTTGGGAGCCAGTGTGTTGTAATAGCTGAAATGCCAAGAGTTTCACTGATTAAATATTCTTGCATGGATACCAGGAGACCATGTTACCTTGAGCCCATTGGAAGAAAGAGTCAAATAAGAATATGTAATTGCTACTTGGCCAAGCAGTTACTAGTAGAAACCTCCATGATGGTAGAATTGATTATAAGCAGTCCCCAAGTTACAAACAAGATTGCTTCTGCAGGTTTGCTCTTAAGTTGAATTTGTATGTAAGTCAAAACAGGTACATTTTACACACATACACATGTATACACGCATGCATGCTTTGGATAATATAAGGAAGCCTTAACACACTTGTGGTGTTTGTTTTGTTGTCTGTGCCCCTGTTCAGAAGATTTCACCTCACTTTCTGTCCCTGTGATAATCGGATTTGAAAAATTAGGCTTGTTATGGAAACAAGGATTGGTGCTAAAGCTTCAGTTGAGACACATTTTTGCCATGGTAACTTTTTCAGGAGTGAATTTTCCTTCCTAGGGGTACATTTCTCTCTCTTCCTATTGTCTCAACCCCAGTCTTAACTATGAGTCATTTGTAAGTAACTTAGGGACTGCCTGTAACAGCTGTGTTTACCAGTCTCCTAAGTCAAGATGGTTAGTGAAGGAGGAGCACAGGAATGTGTCTTAGTCCACAATTCACAATGTGAAAAAATGTATATTTTAGTTCAGTATGTGGCTCAAGCTAGCAAGCTAAGCACACTGTGTATGTTTCTTCAGGTTATCTGTCCACTTCTGGCAGCCCTATGAATTTCATAGGATTTTCTTGGGCAGGAAATACTCAGTAGTTTGCCGTTTCCTTCCTCTGAAATATAGCCAAATAGCACCTGGTATTCCTTAGCCATCTCCCTTCCAAATACTAAGCAGGGCTGACACTGTTTAGCTCCCAAGATCCCATGGGTCTGGTGCCTTTAGGTTACACACTATACATGGGGTGTTCATTAAAGATTTCCCGACCCACTTCTATTTATCACAAGATGCTGAAACTGCACATGTGTAATGATATAAGTCTCAAATAAGCATCAAATCCTTCCTAGTAGCCTTATTTCAGTTACTAGTAAGAAATAATCACTGTTCTACACACATGTTCAGAGGAAATGTTTTGAGACCACATTAATGTCAGTTTTGCCTTTGAATTTCTGATTTAATCTCATCTAAGAGATTACAGGAAAAAATATTCCTTTTGAACATTAGGAAAAACTTCCTGACCATGAGATCTGTTCACGAGTGGGGGTCTCTGCCAAATCTATGATTCTTTGAGCTGGGGGTGGACCTATGATTTTAGCAGATGCTGATTTGTTCAATTTGTCTTAGCAAGACCCAACAGCACAGGAGGCTGCATATACATCAGTTGTCAGGACAGGTATTTGGCTTACAATGTTGTATGGCTGAACAGACTGTGGTACTTTCTGCAGGCCAAAGACCTATCACACCAGCCTCAAAGTTGCGTGGGATCTCAACACAGGCATCTTCGTCACTGTCAGTGTGGGAGACCTCACTGAAGTCAAAGGCCAGACCAGGTAAGGCAGGTCTCCTGTATTCTGTGCCATGCTCTAAAGAAAGCTGTCTCCCATATGAACCTTTCTATACTATAAGAGCTATACTGTACTGCACTGCTGTAGCAGCCTTACCAATGAGGTTTGTGAGGCACCATCCTTGTGGATTTTCTCAGGTGCCAAGTTAAGGGCCTTCTTCACTCCATCTTCTAATTAACTTATGGGCCAACATGTCTGTCTTCTATTACTTTTACCACTTGTTCAGAAGTTGTTTTGCCTTTCATACTTGCAGCTTTCCTTACTTTGTTTTCCCCTTTTATTTACAGTCCACTGTTGTTCTTGCTTCTGATGTATGTCAACTGACCATAAGACTGGTTCCCAACCTATGGGTCCCCAGGTGTTTTGGCCTACTCCCAGAAATCCCAGCCAGTTTACCAGCTGTTAAGATTTTTGGGAATTTCTGGGCATTGAAGGCCAAAACACCTGGGGATCCACAGGTTAAGAAAAACTGCCATAAGACAACCATAGGCTTTTCTTGGTGAGATTTGTTCAGATGGGATTTGCACTTGCCAATGTCAGAGGTTGAAAGAGTGTGAGATCTTGAACTCGCAGATCTTACTCGTTCATTGTCTTTAGTGGAAGTTAACAACTTATGTCTTTCTCCCATCTTCCCTGGGCCGATAACAAGCTATGCATATAGCATATTGGTATTTCCCCATAGTAACGAGTGAGCGGTAGGCATTTATATTGGTGAAAGGAAATCACCCATGGGCTAGGGAGTATATCTGCTGCTTTCCTAGTGATCACAGATTTGAGTTGCTGGCTAAATAGTAGCTATTTCCTCCCACTAGTTCCATTTGTTTCGTCCTGTAACACTCAGAGGTATTGCCAACTAGGATTCCTGAATTTAGATTCTCAGTCATGTAGCTGTGTCATAGAAAAAGTTAAAAAGAATACAAGTCCTGGTTAAACTTGCTTATTTTCATTGTGTACTATGATCTTGTACTCCAGTTGTTTCCATCTCATTGATTGTGTTGGAAAGAACGAGTGGAAAGTGGAGTTACAACATTTGGAAGGCTAGATGTCCCCAGCCTTTTAAAGGGTTGCCTCCCCTAACAAAACACATTGTTAGCTGTGTGTTGGTGACCATACAGCATTGCATAAATAGGTATCAAGTGCCACCTACTTCAAGGACTTCAAGGAGGTATCCAGTACCACCATACAACAACAGCTCCTTGTTAACTTTGGGAGTGGATGTTTGTCCAGGCTCGTTGCAACTGCTCTTCAGCACCAGGAGAAACTTATGTTAGGGACAGAGGCTGCTTCTCCTTCCCTTCACGCTTAAGAGCAGCTTTAGTGAATCCAGATGAAGCAACTAGATCTTCTTGCGAACAGAGACTTCCCAGCCTGCCACTACCATGGAGAATCTTGGCTAGAAATCCCAGAATCTCCCAGCATATGTTTGAAAAGTTTTAATAAATACTGCACTTACCTGGATTGGCCCTTTCCCGTTCTCTTTCAGTGGCAGCGTGTGGAGCTCCTATCGGAAAAGTTGTGTGGACATGGTAATGAAGTGGCTGGTGCCCGAGAGCAGTGGCCGTTACGTCAACAGGATGACCAACGAGGCCCTTCATAAAGGTACCTTTTCTCCTCAGCTATTGATTTGGAGGCATTTGAGCATCTTCCTGAAAAACTGTGTAGCTTTAGTTGGCTTTGTGGTATTGATGTGACAGCCTGTTTCTGTCGAAGTAACACACTTTGTGTACCTGATGCTACTCAGGACAAGGACTTGCTGTGTAAATGATCAGGTCTAAGCAGATTTTTGAGGTGATATGGTAGGGGAATTCCTCTAGAGCAGGCCTGCATAATTTGTGGCCCACCTGGGTGTTTGGGACTCCAACACCAAGAAGTCGTAGCTAGCTTGTCCAGTGGTCAGAAATTCTAGGAACTGAAGTCCACAACACATGGTGGGCTACAGGTTGAAGAGACCTGCTCTAGGACATGGGCAATCTTATTTCAACTTTGGCCTGGTTGCTTGAAATTTGGATGTGCTTGCCTCTTCTCACTCATTTGCATTCGAAAAGTGCAGAAATGGAAAATGGTAGTTATTGGTCATGTGAACTTTTAATTCCAGAGATGGGAGAGCCACAAATTCCGTTCAGGGTTGCCTTATATTCTGGCCAACTTACTTGGTGCTCCTAAATGTGGTGGATGTTATGTTTGGAAGTTTCTTGTCCTTTTGTAAGCAACCTGTTCCTGAGGCTTTGTAAAAATGAAGATTTGGAGTGTGCAATGTAGCTAACTCACTTACCCCTTCCCCTTGCAGGCTGTTCTTTGAAATTCCTTGCGGACAACGAGCGCTACACATGGATTGTCTTATGAAGTCAGGTTCAAAAAGAAGCTTGCATCAGTAGTTCATTTCCTGCCATAAATGTGTGTCAGATTCAACTACCTCCTTGTTCAAAGTTGTTTTTAATTTCCCCATCCCTTTTGAGTCAACAGTTGCGCGCCTGACCTTGTGTTGGACTGTCTGGGAGTAAAACTGCTCTGGAGAACCTACCTCTCCTTGCAGGCTCATCTTAGAAGTTGGGCTGCGCAAGCCCCAGCTGAGCAAGAGCGCTCCCCAGAAAGCAGGGCCTCCACCGTCACCGCATCTGTCTCCGTGTGAAGCCGCAAGGAGTCTTCTGCAGGGTTTGCCCTCCCCTGGTGCTAAAGCATGAATGATCCCAGGGCAATGTTTGTTCCGTTATAAGGAGACCAAAACCCCTTCCCTTCTTTAAATGTCATTCTGTGTTTCAGGCACTTCACTATCACTCCCATTGGAGGAGTGATTTTTCCCCCCTCTTAAGTGTACATGACACCCTCTATTTCCCATCCTAATTTGTCTCCAGCAGGTTTTCTGTTCCTGCAATAAACATTTAAATTTGAGTTTGGCTCTTACTGTTTCTTTTTTCTTCTTCAGACGGCTCAATGGGGAGTCCAGGGTCACAGCCAAAAGTCTCCAAATAATTGCACTTGAGAGTTTGCAAGCATTGACTGAAAGCCAGGAAATGTCTGTGTGAGCTGAGGGCTGCTTTTTGTAGCTTACCTTGACAGCTGGACCAGGGGGTAGTAAAAAATAAGAGCAGGCTGACTATTCATTTGCTAATATCCATTTTTTCCTTCCATGCAACCATTATAGTCCCAGATGCGGTCAGCTGCAGCATGTTTGTGCCTTTGATGCAGAGATGTATTCCTTTGCTGGGATTCATTAGGAAGTATGTCCAAAATAAAATTAACTTATAATGCTAATAATAAAATAATAGTTTCATGATGTATATGAAATACTTATGAAAATCTGTGGCCCCACCGGAAATATTGTACAATGCTGTGTTACTTCCAAAATTGATAACTTTAATTGGGGGGGGGGGGGGGGGGGGGAGGTTGCAAATTTATAGATGTTAAATTTATCACTACTGACTAACCACCACAGCTATACATTAACACTAGAACAGGACTGCTATGCTCCTATCTTCTATGTGTTTTTCCATAGGTCAGAATGCCAGAGTACAGGGGATTTTGCAGTGTGACTCCAATGTTGTGTCAAGTTCTTTATACTTTGATACAAAGAATATTGTCACTGGACTATTTCCAGACATAGAGCTTCTTGGTTTTTTTCTGTTTGATACTTTTTATAGGAGGACAATAAGGATGTATTGTTGAGGGCTTTCATGGCCAGAATCACTGGGTTGTTGTAGGTTTTTCGGGCTATATGGCCATGTTCTAGAGCAGTGTTTCTCAACCTGGGGGTCAGGACCCCTGAGGGGTCGCGAAGGGGTGTTAGAGGGGTCGCCAAAGAACATCAGAAAACACAGTATTTTCTGATGGTCATGGGGATTCCATGTGGGAAGTTTGAGCCAATTCTATCGTTGGTGGAGTTCAGAATGTTCTTTGATTGTAATGAACTATAAATCCCAGCAACTACAACTCCCAAAAGTCAAGGTCTATTTTCCCCAGGCTCCACCAGTGTCCACATTTGTGCACATTGAGTATTTGTGCCAAGTTTGGTTCAGATCCACTATTGTGTGAGTCCACAGTGCACTCTGGATATAGGTGAACTACAACTCCCAAACTCAAGGTCAACACCCACCAAACCCTTCCAGTGTTTTCCATTGGTCATGGGAGTTCTGTGTGGCAAATTAGGTTCAAATCCATCACTGGTGCAGTTCAGAATGCTCTTTGATTATAGGTGAACTATAAATCCCAGCAACTACAACTCCCAAATTACAAAATCAATCCTCCCCCAACCCCACTAGCATTTACATGTGGTTGCATTGGGTATTTGTGCCCAGTTTGGTCCAGTGAATGAAAATACATCTTGCATATCTGATATTTACATTATGATTTATAACAGTAGTAAAATGACCGTTATGAAGTAGCCACGAAAACAATTTTATGGTTGGGGGTCACCACAACATGAGGGACTGTATTAAGGGGTCACAGCATTAGGAAGTTTGAGAACCACAGTTCTAGAGGCAGTCTCTCCTGACGTTTCACCTGCATCTATGGCAAGCATAGATGCAGGCGAAACATCAGGAGATAATGCCTCTAGAACATGGCCATATAGCCCGAAAAACCTAGAACAACCCGACAATAAGGATGTTTGAGTGGAGAAAGGCAGTATCAGAAACACACATAAACATTAGTGAATGATATCTGGCATTGCCATGAGAAAAAGGCCTTATTTATAACCACTATAACAGAGGGTAATAGTGGTGTCAAATTCTTGGAAGATCTGCACTTAATGTCCAGTTCTCAAAATGTAAATAGTTCCAACCAGTTGCTGGAATTGTAGAGAGGGGATTTAAATTGTATCTCAATTTGGTATCTTTATTGTGGTTTGAGAGTTAATATCATATATTAAAATCCTGATCCTATAACAATGATTTAATTGTTGAAAGCTTCCCCTTTAAACAGTTATATGTAGCTCAAGTGACATTGAGTTTTGACCTTTAGGTTTGTCAGGGCCAAGGAACATGTCCTGTTCTTAGATGAGCATAAAAGCGAACTTGTACTTCAGCAAGAGTAAGCAAGCAGCATTCTAGGCAAAGAACACGGCTGAATTTATTTCTTAAGAAAGAACTACAAAAGGTAGAAAACAGCTTTTGCACTCTAGACTACACACACGTACATCATCTGACCACAGGCACTGCCCATCTCATGGACCCAGGACACCTACAAAGCTCTTCAAACTCCACTTGAAGTCTATAGTGCAGCTAAAGCTGCTGTCGCCGCACAAAAGATTGACACAAAATATATATTTTATACAATATGTAGATTTTGCAATAAACATCTATATCACAGGTTTAAAACACTGGAAAAATTGGAACAAATAAGGCCATGATGGTTGAAAAACCCAAAAATATCAAGTAATTTATCTTCACCAATCTCACAATATTTAGGTGGTTTATAGAACAAGAATTAGTAATTACATATAAAAGCACAGATATTTTTTTCTGTTTAAAACTAGAATATCTAATATTCAGTTACAAACCAAAAGAGTGATTACTTTTCTCTAAAGCAGGAAGTAACCAAACCAATTTGCTTGGTTACTTGCACAGAGAGGGGACAAAGGGCTGATTTCCGTTTAAAGCCAAGGGCTACTATGTTCTCAGCGAGCCTAGTCTTTTCCCAGCCTGACGCACCCAAAACGAGTGGGGCCTGCTAATAACTGTCCCTAGCTGCTCTGCAGCCAATCCGCTGGTGGACAGAGAGAATATCCTGGTTCAGAGGAAAAGGGGCGTGTTGTTGTGTAAGGCAGCAACTAAATACAAAGGTCAGCTCGTTCATGTTGTTGAGTCCGATGTGATTATTGGTGGATCCAGCATTCTGCGCTGTTCATAGGGGGAATAGCGAGCTCACAGAAAGCAAAGTTTTGCAAGCAACTAGATCCATTTTCCTTACCAAAGATAGGACTTTCTCTAAAGCTAAAAGCCAATCTGCATACATTTGAGAGAGCAGGGTCTGGGGGAGGGTGGGGAGGGCAGAAATGCTGGGACAGAAACTAGTTATTTCTTGAACCTTGATTATAGCCTGTCCCTTCCTAGATCATTGGCTTCTCCCTGTTGGGGCAGGAAATGCACCCTTCTTTCACTGACAGACATACCCACACACACTTCACAAAGCAAGGCATGTGAAATAATTCCACTGATCTGGATTCAACAATGGAATTGGATGCTCATTTCAGAAATCCCAGAGTAGCGTAGTGTAGAAGCAAAGCACATTGCATCTGAACATAAAGCATTGCTGGGTCTCATGAGTGAAACTGGCAGAAGAGGCATGTATAGTAACTAAGGTGCTTTTCTGAAACAATGATGGGAAATGGCTACGAAACCTCTTAACAATCGGAAAAAATACCCCACTGGCACCTTGAAGATGCTGCCTACCTGTTGCATTCAAAACTAAGAGGTGCTTTATGTGCAAAAATCTTTTCAAGGTAGCATTTTGCTACAGGAGTAAAGAAATAAAAAGTTGGCACCTGCATGTTTTCTCCCCTCAGGATAAATTCACTGGCTCATGGCTAAGCTACAAGTTTTAGTATTTCTTCACTACTATAGTCTTGACTTGGGGGTGCTTTTTATTCTTACAGAAGCTTAAAAAGTGGGCACGATTCTGTTTAGCCCATTCTGCTGTAACATTCACAGCTGGATAGGGAATATCCCCAGCAGAAGATCAGCCACAGAAAGCAGGTCTCTGATCCCGATGCTGTAAAATTCTCCCACTGGGTCAAGAGTTGGGTCCCTGGGCCATCGCGGTTGTTAAAACTAACAGTCCAGCTATTCAGTTGCAGCTGTAGATAGGATGCCATCATGCCTAGGGTAGAGGGCAAGTGGGTTCTCTGGTTGTTTGATGTGAAGTGAAGAACCTCAAAGACCACGGGAAAGCTATGGACAATCTGCCTCATGTGAATAGCCTCAGGATATGGGGCTTCTTGTCCAGAAAATGCCAACAAGAAATGAGCTCTCAATGTGACAAGCTAGCTGACCACAAGAGTCAGCAGACTGCCATTTGAGAACATTGATGGAGAAACACATGTCCAAGAACTCATGCAATGTGTTAGGAGAAGGGATGGATAACTATCAGAAGGCACCCATCTACAACTCTAAAGAGACACTCAGGCACTGCCTCTTGTTGCCATGCATAGAGAACTTCTTTCAGGGAGTCTGCAATCCTGTCATTGGTTTGGGTTTAAAGGAGGCCAGTCCTAGTGCTCAGGAAAAGGACCCTGAAAGCCAGCAATGAGGAAATAGATTGTTACACTGTTTTTTGAGCCCCACCTCTAGACTTTGGCAGGTCAATATGCTAAGGTCAGGACTGCAACCTATAGTAATTCAGCCTAGCTGGGGAATGAACCTACAACTGCTACTGGAGAGCCATGCTCTGCTACAAATACTTCAAAAGGTGAGGACGCAGCCACTCTTGTAGGCTATGAGCCTTGGTATACTTGCAACCACGACTGATGTTGACCCTGGACATGTTTCTGCTCCACTCCTTTCTTTCTTCTCATGATGCCACTGACTTCCACTGGGCTTGTCTAAATCCTTCAGCCTTGCCACCCTGTAGTGCAGCCAAAGGTGGGTTGTACACAGTTGAGTGCCATCTTCCTGCAATGTTAACAGGCAATCTTTGGACTCCCAAGCACTTCAGGGAGGACTAGCCCTATCCTATCCTGCTCTTGCTAGCATTGTAATGACCTTAGTTGAGATATCAGCAGTAGGAATGCCTCTGTGTAATGGGTCAGGGTTCTCCCCTCTTGCACTGCAAAGGCAAGTTGCATTTTCAGTGGCATCTGAAGACTTCAAGAAGCAGAGCATTTGGGGGGATGAGATGGGGTTAGCCATGCTTGATTCAAGCCAGTACAATAATGCTTCAATGCTATATGCCAAAAAAGGCTGTTCAAAGTTATCAGCTGTATGACTGTGTAGAAAGATGACCTGGCATGGGCAGAATGGGAGCACACAATTATCTGAGAGCTCATGTGGGAACAACGAACAATGGATGCAAAGCTGCATGGATTGTATCTCGCCCTAGTTACAGAGCCTGGCCTCACTGGCTGAGTTCAAAAGGATCAACTAGCTTGCCTTTGGACTAAGAGCAGGAGGATTGCCTAACTTCTCTTAACACGGAGCTGAAATCTGTCCAAGAGCTGCAAGCATTAGACATACCACCACTCAGCAGGAGTACCAAGAGGCTCGGCATTGTGTACAAAACAAGCAAATGAACACTCAAAACAGCAGAGAAACTCTGAAGGAACCAGAAGAAGGAGGGCAGTAGGATAAGCCAAACAGGTGTGCAGCATTTGCAAAGTTGGACTTTTTTTTGGTGGGGTTCATTTTCCTTCTATACTTAGCAGTGGCTCAGGATGAGCTCTTGGGGGAATAAATTCTGCACCATTTATGCTCAAGTACCTGGTGATTTCAGAATGACCTCAGTTACAAACTTGGACTTGTCAGGCCATGATACTGAAGGCTTAGAGCTCTTGCTCATCTCACAAGAGGCCCTGCTTGCTGGGCCACTTAACTGCTTTTAGATGCCTTGCTCTTCATGTTTATGCCTGCTAAAACATGAAGCAATAGGTGGCACATGCCTGCACATGCCCGCAATTAATAGGCACACATTGCAGCTGAGTGGGAATTTGGAAGTGCAATTGTGACTACACTGAGCCTCTCCTGTCCAAATTATCATTTCACTCCCCTCAATAAACTGAGGGCAATACACACGCTGTGCTGGGTAGATCCACTGGTGGGCTCAGCTACTGCCACAGAAAACAGTTACAGAGTAATCTACAGTGTGCTGAAGAGGAGATGAGTAGAATGCAGGACCTTCTTCCCAAACTGCCCCAATTGTTGCTAGTATGAGCCACCTGAAATCCAACACTGAACACTCCAAGCACCTCAAAACTCACCCTGTGTGTCCAACAGAAGTACAAAATGAAGGGAGATAGCCAGCACTGAGGGTAACTCCCAGGCAGACACAAGGAAAACCTCACCACACAACAGTGACATTCACCCCAAACCAGACAGGTGGCCGTCACAATGGCTCCTCTGGGTAGCCAGGTAGACCTGGTTGCTCAGGATCACTGGACAGGGTGCATCTGCTTATCCTCACCAAAAGGCAGAAAATGAAAGGCCCTACATGGGCCAATGTTACAACTTGAAAGCATGGGCTTCATCTACTCCCCACAGTATGAGTGGAGCCTCTCACCCTGGACTCCAGGCAAGGATATTCTCCCGCCCTCCCATTGAGAAGAAAAAGCAGCCAGGGATAAAGGGCATGGAAGGAGGGGCACAAAGTCTGAACCAGTTCCTCACTACCCCTGATAACCCAGAGCATAGCATGGAAGAGGTAGAGACCAAACAGCCCTAGCAGCAAGGGCCAGGCCCAGCATTCCCACAGGACCACCGCAGGAGGTTCGTAGAGCGAACACTGCTAACTGAGGGGCTTGTTTTGGACTGCCCAGGGGTGGGAACAGGTCAGATGAGGAGTGGGGAGAGGTGTGAAATGAAAGCGCGTTGCATACCACTCGGAGACAGGAATAGCTCAACTTTATCGCAGGGCAGCACAACACAGCGCAAGATGCGCCCTGGCCTCCAGCTGGCCGTTGAAGCCATCGGTCCCTTCCAGCAGCTCTAACTGGAGGGCAGCGCTTGCACAAAGATGCCCCGAGCGTCTGTCCGTGCCAGCTTGGAGGGTGGCGGCTCCATGGGGTCGGCGGTTAAGCTGCTGGACTCGTTGGAGCTGAGAGACAACTCCTGGGGCATCTCCTCGTCGCTCTCTTCCTCCTCTTCCTCTTCCTCATCTGATTATCAAAAGAGAAGTGGTTAGATCTTGGGGCATACGGCCACAGGGTAAGAATGTGTGCAATGGTACGAGAGAAATGTCTTTTTGTTTCCTCATTTATGTGTATGTGTGCACGTCAGCACTTAGAAAACTCTTATTTATTTTTTAAAAAAACAAACACAAAAATGGCTAGTCCAGATGAAATAGAACAATTGAATTAAAAAAAGTCTTATTGATTTAATGGTTCTATTTCATCCGGACTAGCCATTTTGGTGTGTTTTTTTTTTAAATCAAATATTCCAAAACATTTAAAACATAATACAACTTCTATTCCCAGATCGATATCTCTCCCCAAACCCACCCTATATATTAATTATTGTAATGTGTTCGTTAATTACTCAGCCACAATCTTTCTTGGATGTTGAGTGGTTGAAATGTGCCATTGCTTTTACACATGAAGCTAAAAAATGGCTTCCAAGTTCTAGCAAACAGATCTTTCCATTCTCCTTTTGCTAATCGTAATTTATAGATCAACCTTTTCCTGTTCCTTGAGCCTCAGGCTATCCATTTCAAACCACAGCCTTAAGCTATGTTGTGCCCTGTCTCAAGCCATGAGGAGAGACAGATAAGAAATAAAGTATTGGTGTAGTAGTAGCAGTAGTAGCAGGAGTAGTAGTAGTTATTATTATTATTATTCTCATGCATCCTCTTAACAGCAGGGAGAAAATGGGCAGGTCTCTCAACTCTTTGTCAAATAATGATGAGGTCCTGTCAAATAATGATGAGGTCCTAAACACAGTGTTTTGGGATAACCTTTGGCGAGTAGGTGCACAACATGACATTACTGCACCCCTCAACGCTTTTGCCACTGGGTACACGCCCTCCAAATGGGAAGTTTAACTTCACAACTCTGCTTGCTTTTATGAGTTCCCTGCAAATAACCTGCTCCTATTTTTTATCTCATTAGATTTTAATCATTTTATTTTGTACATGTGGCCCGCCTAATGTTATAGTGATTGTGTTTATTGGAATGTTATTTTATGACTAAGTTATACTTTTTTTATTGATGTTGTTTGTTGTTTATGCTTTGCTTCTACTTTGCTGTAATATGTTGTCCGGGGTTGGCTGCATGTAAGCCACCCCTAGAATCATAGAATCATAGAATCAAAGAGTTGGAAGAGACCTCATGGGCCACCCAGTCCAACCCCCTGCCAAGAAGCAGGAATATTGCATTCAAATCACCCCTGACAGATGGCCATCCAGCCTCTGTTTAAAAGCTTCCAAAGAAGGAGCCTCCACCACACTCCGGGGCAGAGAGTTCCACTGCTGAACAGCTCTCACAGTCAGGAAGTTCTTCCTCATGTTCAGATGGAATCTCCTCTCTTGTAGTTTGAAGCCATTGTTCCACGTCCTAGTCTCCAAGGAAGCAGAAAACAAGCTTGCTCCCTCCTCCCTGTGGCTTCCTCTCACATATTTATACATGGCTATCATATCTCCTCTCAGCCTTCTCTTCTTCAGGCTAAACATGCCCCGCTCCTTAAGCCGCTCCTCATAGGGCTTGTTCTCCAGACCCTTGATCATTTTAGTCGCCCTCCTCTGGACACATTCCAGCTTGTCAATATCTCTCTTGAATTATGGTGCCTGGAATTGGACACAATATTCCAGGTGTGGTCTAACCAGAGCAGAAGAGAGGGGTAGCATTACTTCCCTTGATCTAGACACTATGCTCCTATTAATGCAGGCCAAAATCCCATTGGCTTTTTTTGCGCCACATCACATTGTTGGCTCATGTTTAACTTGTTGCCCACGAGGACTCCAAGATCTTTTTCACGTACTGCTCTCGAGCCAGGCATCCCCATTCTGTATCTTTATATTTTATTTTTTCTGCCTAAGTGGAGTATCTTGCATTTGTCACTGTTGAACTTCATTTTGTTAGTTTTGGCCATTCATTTCTCTTAATCTGTCAACATCGTTTTGAATCCTGCTCCTGTCCTCTGGAGTATTGGCTCTCCCTCCCAATTTGGTGTCGTCCCCACTGGAGAGATGGTGGTGGGTATAAATAAAGATTATTATTATTATTATTATTATTATTATTATTATTACCACCACTTCCAGCACTCAACAGTTACAGCAAAGTGAAACATTCTGGGAGGCCAGCTCTTGAAATCACTGCTAATCACAATAGCTGAATGGGGCCTTCAGGCTTAAGAAACAAATAAACAATCATCACATCCCACCCCAAAACAATGAATTATCCAGACACTAAGGGCAAACAACAGGGGAAGCACTGCTTGCAAGACTCAGAAGGGTCCAGTGGAAATGAGATGCTGACCCAGGTGGATCTTCTCTCTCAACCAGCAAAGCAATTCTTACGATACCCAGACATTTTGGACTAGGCTTACTCCGCAGCCCCAATTTGGCCAAAGAACTGAGGAAGGGGGCTGCTCCCACTGTACTGGGCTTTAAAAACTGATCTCTCTCAATTGAATAGAAATACATTTTGCATTTTATGTATTTTATTTTCTGGTTTTGTTATGTTTTTGTGTAATACTGTGTTTGTTGTACTGATGGATGTGGCCTCATATAAGCGGCCCCGAGTCCCCCTGGGGGAGATGGAGCGGGGTATAAATAAGATTATTATTATTATTATTATTATTATTATTATTATTATTAATACACTTGCTAAGCCAATACAATACAAAGTTCAATTAAATTGTTCCAGGACAGCACCGAGAAAATAGCGAAGCTTGAAAAATAACTAGCACTCGCTATATATTTTATATATAAAATACCAGTGAAGTACAAATAATCTCCAATTTGCGCAACCAGCTAAAAGTATGAAATCACTAACGAAATAATTAAATCATGAATATTTATTTCTAAACCATGCTTTGCTTTCCAGCATAAAATGAGAACATTCCACTCCTTCACAAATTTAGTGTTTTTCTCTTAACTATCGCTTGGACTTATTTTTAACAGTTGTATTGCTTGCCAGGATTGGTTATTTCAGAATTTGCATATAATCAACGTTGTATTTTTAGCAACGATCAATGTTTTTCTAGTATTAATAAACTGGATACAACTGGCATTCAATCTTTAGGTATGGCCACCCCAGATGCACGTAATTTGATGGTTGTTGTTGTTCATTCGTTCAGTTGTCTCTGACTCTTCGTGACCTCATGGACCAGCCCATGCCAGAGCTCCCTGCCAGCCGTCACCACCCCCAGCTCCTGGTTATGCCACTCCTAATTAAGGATTTTTTTTTTGTTTGCAACACCCAGCATCTCATTTTGGGTTTTGGGAAGCATTGGATGCACAGAAGCACACAGGAAGAAGATCCCTAACACTCCTAGTTTGCTCAGAGGCAAACTAGAAATCTCCCTTGCTGAGAACTGCAAATGCCTCTTCCTCAAAGGATGATGCCATGACAGTTAAAATGGCAATAAAGCATTTATCAGTATAACGTGAAAAAGCCCCTGGTGTACACAACTTAGATCCACCAAAATATCCTTCTATTCAACAAGAACATAAGGTTTTAAATTCTCTGTGTTATTGTTTATATGTAAGTTATATTAATTGTACTGTTTTATTTGCTTGCTGTTTTGTTTTTACTGATGTGTTGTTGGGCTTGGCCTCATGTAAACCGCCCAGATGGTGGCGGGGTATAAATAAAGTTTTTAAAAAATTATTATTATTATTATTATTATTATTATTATTATTATTATTAAGAACAACAGGCCCTTCCACAATGGCAGGTTTAAATTTTGGCAGATTTGATTACATTATGTAACACAATTTTTGTTCCTTGGATTTAAATGTCATTTCTTAACTGCTTCTATTATAAAACATGGAAAAGGTTTATTAAACTGCAAAACCTTTGTTTTCAAGGGATATCCTGCAGCATATTTTGCTATAGTTTTTCAATGAATATCTCCTTGAGTCTCAACTAATTCAACATAGCTTATAACAGACACAAAAGCGAGGTTTCTGAAGTATAATCACTACTTTCAAAGTAAGTATTGCACAATCAAACATGAAATAACACTTTCAAACCAGGAGCAGAAAATTTTTCAAATTTTGTTACATAGTGTTATTTGTGGGTCTAATTGATATGTTATCTCTAGCACACAGCTTCTTAAACTTTTCCACTCGGGACCCATTTCCACCTGAGAAATTTTAAGATGATCCTGTATATATACATATATAAAATAGGTATAAAATCAAACATTTATTTACTGGTAGTAGATTAGCATTTGCAATGCTCACTATTCAGGCTGATTTTCCTTTTTCTGAGGTACAGCAGAAGCAATTTCTGCAGAGTCCCCTATAAACCCTGCACAACGTGTTTGTGTAAATGTCTAAAACAACCACTAGCTGATATTCAGAAAATATTTTCAGGACCCAAACATTGTGCTAAGGGAGCCTGGACCCACAGTTTAAGTAGCTCTGCTCTAGTGTGATTTTAGGGGCCACTTCTGATGGACATTGATCACAGAGTTATACCAGAAGACCTAGAAGAAAACATTTATCTAGAAATCTGTAGGCCTTCCAGCATGATTCTAAAGACAATTAAACCACAAAATCGCACTGGAGGACTTAAGGCATTCCTAAAGAGGTGTAATGTGATTGTAATGTTTCTCTGGTTGCCATTACCGCTCAAGCAGGGAGCTTTGAGATGGTAACAGAAGCTCTCCGAAGCTCTAGGTGCTCTTACTGCCTATTACAGGGAAAACCAACTGATCCCTAATCCATCTAAAACACAGACATGTGCCTTTCACCTTAAGAACAGACAAGCATCCCGAGCTCTGAGGATTACCTGGGAAGGAAGGAATCCCACTGGAGCATTGCAGCGCACCCAAATACCTGGGAGTCACTCTGGACCGTGCTCTGACCTACAAGAAGCACAGCCTGAACATCAAGCAAAAAGTGGGTGCTAGAAACAATATCATACGAAAGCTGACTGGCACAACCTGGGGATCACAACCAGACACAGTGAAGACATCTGCCCTTGCGCTATGCTACTCTGCTGCTGCATGTGGAACACATCTCACCACAGTGGATGTGGCTCTTAATGAGACATGCCGCATTATCACGGGGTGTCTGCGCCCTACACCACTGGAGAAATTACACTGCTTAGACGGTATTGCACCACCTGACATCCGCCGGGAAGTAGCAGCCAATAGTGAAAGGACCAAGGCAGAGACATCTCCAGCTCATCCCTGTTTGGGTATCAGCCAGCACGTCAACGACTTAAATCAAGACATAGTTTTCTTAGATCTACAGAGACACTCGCTGGAACACCTCAGCAAGCGAGAGCCCAAAAGTGGCAGGCCCAAAAGTGGCAGCACCTCAATCCATGGGTGATACCAGATGAGAGACTCCCCCTGGGCACACAGAAGACTGGGCGACTTGGAAGGCGCTGAACGGACTGCGCTCTGGCACCACGAGATGCAGAGCCAATCTTAAGAAATGGGGCTACAGGGTGGAATCCACGGCATGGGAGTGCGGAGAAGAACAAACCACTGACCACCTGCTGCAATACAACCTGAGCCCTGCCACATGCACAATGGAGGACCTTCTTGCGGCAACACCAGAGGCACTCCAAGTGGCCAGATACTGGTCAAAGGACATTTAATCAACTACCAAGTTTGCAAAATCTGTGTGTTTGTTTTAACCTGTTTGTTTGTTTTGTTCTGTTAGAAATGTAATACAATGGTATGGTTGCTGATGACACGATAAATAAATAAATGTTTCTCTGATGTCATGGTTGATTTTATTTTGTCTTATTTTATTGTGTGTTTTAATCTGTATTTTATTGGGCCTGTCCCCTTGTAAGCCGCCCCGAGTCCCTTCTGGGAGATGGTGGCAGGGTACGTAACACAGTATGTCTCTCTGAGGCACAGAAGGGAAAGGCAAGCCCATAGACAGAGACACATAGCGCATCCATTCGAGCCAATCAACTCCCCCCCCCCCAAATAAAGAGGAAGGTCACTCCAAATCAAAGCTAGTAGTCCAGAAAACCAAAACCAGTAACACAGTTTAATAAATAAAATAATAATAATAATAATAATAATAATAATAATAATAATAACTAGTCAAAGGGAGAGAGAGGTTCCATAACTGCTGCATAAGCGGCGGATGAAAAGAACCGAGACAGTGGCATCTCCCACCAGCTACTTATACTCACAAGGGGAGAGTGGGCAGGGCCAACCGCCAAAGTTTTTCAAATCTATCTAGAAGGTTCCGAAGCTATCTGCTCAGGCGCAGAAACTACCATATGTGCGATTCACAGTTGACCACGATGGGAAAATTACGTTGTTGTTGTTATGTTCTCTCAGTTAAAAATGAGTAAAGTTTTTATTTGCAGGTTTCCCACTTTTGTGGGGATCCTACTACCTTAACTCCAATGTGAGTGTGGAGAGGAGCAAACTACAGACCACCTGCTGCAATGCAACCTGAGCCCTGCTACATGCACAATGGAGGACCTCCTTGCAGCAACACCAGAGGCACTCCAAGTGGCCAGATACTGGTCAAAGGGCATTTAATCAACTACCAAGCTTGCAAATTCTGTGTTTTGTCTGTTTGTTTGTGTTAGAAATGTAATACAAATGTCTGGTTGCTGATGACACAATAAATAAAAAATAACTGCAATGAATGTGGAGAGCCTACTATAGCTTCAAAGCAACACACCCTTCCTTCCTCTCTCCTTTTCACATTAATAAAATAAACACAACAGTATACATTCAATGGAGTAGTAAGGGCCACAAAGATTTCTACAATCTACCATTGAAATAAGATGCAAGAAACCTTTCAACATCTCAAGGGGGTCAGACAGTACCTTTATCCGGGTCCAAGGGATTCAAGGAACTCGTCAGGTTTGCAAACTTGAAAACAAGGAAGAAAGAAATGTAAGCAAGGATGATCCTGATTTGGCAACCAGCTCTTCTTGCAATCTATACCCAAGTGAAATGCCACACAGCCCTTTTGCTTACATAGTGATAGCATGCATTTCCAAAGAAATGGATAGACCTCCCTTTCTACACACTGAGAGTGGAGGAAACCCATCTCTTTGTGTTTTGCTAATTTGCTGGCCCCGCCACAAGGAATTTCACGAACTGCTTGAACATGGATGAGCAAGGAACTGGGCATCTCTCTCCATTTATTAGTAAAGTCTGCATTTCTGAATGAACGTCATGATAGCATTCTAGCCCTGAACAAACTGCAACGTACTGCATGTTGTATCCGAACCAACACACAGCCTTAGCATTTGGTAGTTCAGCAATATTTATTTATTTATTTACTGCACTTGTAGACCGCCGTTCTCAGCCCTAAGGCGACTCACGGCGGTGTACAACATGTAAAAACAGGTACAATTTACAACATAAGCAATATCACAACAACATTAAACAACATCACTATCAATAATACAATTACACTAAATCACTTGCGACGTCTCATTGTTGAATCACAATCCAAATCTCGTTATCCATGTTCCGTTCCAATCGTCATTGCCAGTTGTTGCAGCACTTACTCAAACGCCTTCTCAAACAACCACGTCTTTAGTCTCTTGCGGAATGTCATAAGGGAGGGCACCAGTCTGATGTCCACAGGGAGGGTGTTCCACAGCCGGGGGGCCACCACCGAGAAGGCCCTATCCCTCGTCCCCGCCAGGCGTGCCTGTGAGGCAGGCGGGATCGAGAGAAGGGCCTCCCCGGACGATCTCAAAGTCCTCGTGGGCTCATAGGCCGAGATGCGGTCAGACAGGTATTTTGGGCCGGAACCGTTTAGGGCTTTGTAGGCCAACACCAGCACCTTGAATTGGGCCCGGTAGCAAATCGGCAGCCAGTGGAGCTGGTACAACAAGGGCGTTGTATGCTCCCTGCGTCCCGCTCCTGTTAGTAACATGGCTGCCGCGCGCTGGACTAGCTGGAGCTTCCGGGCCGTCTTCAAGGGCAGCCCCACGTAGAGAGCGTTGCAGTAGTCAAGGCGGGATGTGACCAGAGCGTGTACTACCGTGGCCAAGTCAGACTTCCCGAGGTACGGGCGCAGCTGGCGCACGAGCCTGAGCTGTGCAAATGCTCCCCTGGTCACTGCTGAGACCTGGGGATCCAGGCTCAACGATGAATCCAGGATCACACCCAAGCTGCGAACCTGCGCCTTCAAGGGGAGTGCGACCCCATCCAGCACAGGCTGTAACCCTATACCCTGTTCGGCCTTGCGACTGACCAGGAGTACCTCTGTCTTGTCTGGATTCAATTTCAATTTGTTCACCCTCATCCAGACCGTTACAGCGGCCAGGCACCGGTTCAGGACCTCGACAGCCTCCTTAGTAGCAGGTGGGAAGGAGTGACAGAGTTGGACATCATCTGCGTACAGATGACACCGCACCCCGAAACTCCGGATGATCTCACCCAGCGGCTTCATGTAGATATTAAACAGCATGGGGGACAGTATAGAGCCCTGTGGAACCCCACAAGTCAAAGGATGTGGTGTTGAACAGGTGTCCCCCAATAACACCTTCTGGGTGCGGCCCTCCAGAAATGACCGGAGCCACTGTAGCACAGTGCCCCCGAGGCCCATTTCCGCAAGACGCCCCAGAAGGATACCGTGGTCGACGGTATCAAAGGCCGCTGAGAGGTCCAGGAGCACCAACAGGGACACACTCCCCCTGTCTAGCTCCCGGCGCAGATCATCCACTAAGGCGACCAAGACCGTCTCAGTTCCATGTCCCGGTCTGAAACCAGACTGTGCCGAATCCAGATAATCCGTGTCTACCAAGAATACCTGGAGTTGTGAGGCCACCACGCTTTCCATGACTTTGCCCAAAAAGGGGAGATTGGAAACTGGCCGAAAGTTGTCAAATCTAGTGGGGTCTAGGGATGGACGTAGTAGGCCTCATTCCTCCAAGTATCTTGTCCACATCCTCGGGCTTCACCAATTGAAAAGAATCCATCAAAATAGGACAAGCAGGTGCTCGTGTCACATCCTCAGAGACTGCATTTAATATGGTGTCCAGACCAGAACGGATCAAAGCGACTTTGTCTGCAAAGAACCGAGCAAATGCTTCGCAGCGCGTGGCCGAATTGTCAGGGCTCCCGCCTGAGGTGGCGGGAGTTAAAAGACCTCTGACAATCCGGAACAACTCCGCCGGACGGTTCCTTGCAGACGCAATAGTAGCCGCAAAGAAAGTTTTCTTTGCGGCTTTTATTGCCGCGGCATATGCCCTTAAAAAGGACACAAACCGTGTTCGATTTGACTCGCTCGGATCCGAACGCCACACGCTCTCTAGTTCCCTCTTCCTTCGCTTCATCACTGCCAACTCCTCAGTAAACCAAGGAGCTGGTTTAGCTCGGCTACTTGAGAGGGGACGTTCCGGAGCGATCGTGTCAATTGCCCTGGCCATCTCTCCATTCCAGAGAGCGACCAAGGCATCGACAGGGGCACCTACCGAGGGGGCGGGAAACTCCCCAAGAGCCGTCAGGAATCCATCCGGATCCATAAGCCTCCTGGGGCGGACCAACTTAATGGGTTCTCCACCTCTGCAGAGGTTAGGGGGCGCAGTGAGCCTAAATCTGACCAGGTAGTGGTCGGTCCATGGCAACGGAGAGATGGTCAACTCCTCAACACCGCCACCTTGCTCCCATCCCTGGCAGAAAACCAAGTCCAATGTATGTCCAGCACAGTGGGTGGGGCCAGATATTTGTTGGGACAGCCCCATGGTTGCCATGGCAGACATGAAGTCCTGAGCCGCTCCTGTGAGGGCCGTCTCGGCGTGGATATTGAAGTCTCCCAGCACAAGAAGCCGTTGAGACTCCAACGCCAGGCTCGAGACCACCCCCGCTAGCTCAGGTAGGGAGACTGTAGTGCAGCGAGGTGGACGGTACACTAACAGAATCCCTATTCTGTCCCGGTCACCCACCCTCAGGTGGACGCATTCAAAATTTGTAGACTGCGGGATGGGACTCCTGGTCAGATGGATGGAATCTCTATAGACCACTGCGACCCCGCCTCCCCGCCCTCCGGATCTCGGCTGATGCTGCACGGAGAAGCCTGGAGGACAAAGCTGAGTCAAATTCATGCCTCCAGCTTCATCCAACCAGGTCTCCGTGATGCACGCCAGATCTGCCCGCTCATCCAGGATTAAGTCCTGGATAAAGGTCGTTTTTCCGTTGACAGATCTGGCGTTCAACAGCACCACCTTCAATCCGGAGGGACCGCCAATACAGCACATCTCCGTGATGCACGCCAGATCTGCCCGCTCATCCAGGATTAAGTCCTGGATAAAGGTCGTTTTTCCGTTGACAGATCTGGCGTTCAACAGCACCACTTTCAACTTGATTTCTTGGCATTTCCAGTTTAAAGAAACATAAGCTAGGCTTCAGGAGCTGCGAATTGAAATTGTGGAGGGCTATTGCCGTGGTGAATAATATTACATTCAATCAGTAGCAGGAACATTGTGAAGTTCTAGGGGTCCACTTTCCCCCTGGATGGACTGTGGGCCACAACAGGCCCAGAGAAATCAATTTCTGAATTATTTTAGGGGTCTGATTGTTTTTGAGTTGGAATGCAGTGCTCAGTTCGATCATAAGACCGCTGCTCTTGGAAGGGCCTGGAACATAAACTTTTCTTAATGTTGAAAATTAATCATGGAACTAAAAAACTATGAAGGAAGCTTCACACAGTCCACATAGCACATGTCCACTCTTGAGATATAGTGTTCAGTGATTTTATACCATTATGCAAGACATCCCGATACATCTAAAAGGTAGAGAACTATAGAACTGAAAAAGACAAGGGCAATCCAGACCTACTCCATTTTGCCATGCAGAAACACACTATCGATGTATATGCTCTCCACACAAGGAGGACAAAGAAGCAACTTCTTGATTCTACCAACCTAGCAAAAAGGGTGTTAGGGAGTGAATTTTGCCCTATGAGTCAGGAGTTACAAACTCTTTGTCCCTTGCTCCGAAGGCAACAAGACCTACCTCTCCCATAACGGCAATAGGTGTCTCGCCCTTGGCCTGAGCCACACGATGCTCTATCAGGTAGTACATGTACTCATCGTAGAGGAGGCGGATGAGATGGAAGGATCCAAAACTGGCTGCACTCCGCAGAGTCAGATCCCGAATCACCATAGAGCTGGGGGGGAAAGAATCCCAGTACCATGGTTACTATCTGGACAGCTCTGTGATGGATCAATCACACCACTTGATAGAAAGCATATTTTGGGGGGGGGGGGGGCTGAAAGGCAGCAAAAAGCTACGAACCAAGCCCAACACACTGCTTCTCCCTTTACCTGTAAAAGGACCACTTGAGGAGAAAGAGTTTGGCGGCTTTGGGGAAGCTGGGGCTGCCATGGTAGGGCTTCAGGACCTGGCTGACTACACCATCCAGCCAAACAGCCCACTGCTCCAGAGAGTTCTGCTGCTGCAGAGTCATCTTAAAGTCCTGCTCGAGGCGTTGCACCACACGATCCTCACACCGACACACCCACGAGGCCTGCTCCTGGGGGGCACCAAAGAGAGGGAGAAAGGCATCTCAGGAGGGCTCATGTTCGTATACAGTCAGAGAAGCTGCAAAGGGATGAAAGGGAAGCTATGTCCTTCTCAGGGTTGAGCTGAGAAGATCTCCAGGATCTAGACTCCACATATCCTAGTGCATTTGCCATTTTATTTATTTATTTGTTTGTTTGTTTATTTAAAACATTTAAAAGAAAAAGGTGCCGAGGCAGATGCTGAGCACTTCAGGCCGGGCAGGAGTCTGTGGGTAGTTAGTTACCTGGACATTTGCAAAATCCACCCGATTGAGATCGCTCAGCATCTGATTAATCTGAGCCGTGTTCTGCAAGACGGCTCGGGCAGCCTGGGCAAGATGGTTCAGGGAGGTGTAACGCCGCAGGGTCTGGGCAAAGGCACTTGCTGCTGCCACCTGAAAAACAAAACACCTAGGGTACAACATGTTTCCCTACAACTTTGTAGTCTCTGGAAATTAGAGCCCAAAGGGGAAGAATGATCACTGCTGTGACAAACCCAAAAGGAAATGACAGAAAGGATGATGATGATGATGATGACCTAACCATCTGCCTGCGACAAAGAACTGGTGGGATCATAAGCCGGAAAAAGTTACAGAGAATGAACACGTCAAGCTACACTGGGACTTCCGGATTCAGACAGACAGAGTTTTGGAGCACAATATCAAGCTTTGAAGTACTAAATTGTTTCTGGGGAATAATGGAAATCTACCAGGTTGCAGAATAAGGAAATCAGGCTGCATCTACATTGTAGATGCAATGCAGTGACAACACTTTAACAGCCATGGCTCAATGCTATAGAATCCTGGGATATGTAGTTCAGTGATGCAACAGCACTCTTTGGCCAAGAAAGACAAAGACCTTGCAAAACGACAACTCCCATAATTCCATAGCATTGAGTATCATCATCATCACCATCATCATCATTGACACAAAAGCACAGTATATCACAACAAACGAGATCTATATGCTGGATTTCGTATCATAAAATCACAAGTCGAACACTTCCCAAGCGTCTAGAACTGTGTGATGTATTTTCAAATGATGCGTGCAGATCCAAGTAAGGTGGCCTTTTGCAGTTGATAGACCGTGATTGCAGAGAAACAACTGGAAAAGCTGACATGATATGAGGATTCAAAGATCGAACTGCAAAGACTCTGGCACAAGCCAGTCAAGGTGGTCCCAGCGGTGATCGGCACACTGACTGCAGTGCCTAAAGAATTGGCCTGTACTTAAACACAATCGGCGCTGACAAAATTACCATCTGCCAGCTGCAGAAGGCCATCTTACTGGGATCTGCACGCATTATTCACCGATTCACCACACAGTCCTAGACACTTGGGAAGTGTCTGATGTGCGATCCACAACAACAGTCAGCAGAGTGTCTGCTGTGGACTCATCTTGTTGTGTTTTAAATAATAATAATAATAATAATAATAATAAAAATTTTATTTTTATATGCCACCTCCATCTCCCCAAAAGCACCAGGTCGGCTTACATGGGGACAAGCCTGAACAGCATAATAAAATAAAATAGCACATTAAAATATATAATGGCAGCATAAAACAACATTATAACAAAATATAAAAGCAAAACATCAACCGACAACCAATGAGTTCTATGATAACAATCAGTTTCTGGGTATAGGTGAATGAATGAATTGTTTATTGTACCAGCCATAGGCTATGACATCACATAATATACGAACTTTAAAAGTACAATACAAGAAGTACAACAAGCACTTTCCAATATAAATATTAAAACAATAAGCACTTTCCAATATAAATATTAAAACTTGTTCCATATACTGGCTCTTTAAAATTATAGTAGCAATGACATGATAACAATAACAAATGTCTGATTTGTATCATCCCAAACTATCTCCATTACCATTTCTAGCCTCCGCTATTGACTTTACTAATTTAGCTTGGGTTTTTTGGCCTTGATTGCAAATGTGCAACCTTTAATATGTTTTTGGAATGATCTGCTAACAGGTCACAGATAACAACTGCCTTAAACTTATGAGTAAGGGTACGGGTGGGAGGACTGGTGCAAGGACAATTGTGAGAATAGAGCTGATGGATAAAGTGCATCGATCAAATGACAACAGTGAAAATAGAGGGCAGTTTGAGAATACAGCATTGTGATTCCGATCCTGAGCGACAGGGAGACCTGTCATCAGGATCCAAAAGCCTGAGCTAGCGTGACTTGGGAGATGTCTGTCAGTCCCCCTTAGCATAGACTCCACTAGAGTTTCCTCTACCTGAAAAAAAAAATTATAAGGCTAAGAACCCAGCCTTAAACCACAATTTCTGACTCAACAACTTACTACCCTTTGGCTCACCTTCACGCGGACCATCTCTTCCGGAATATTCATCATGGCATTTGTCAACCAGCTCTCCAAACTTTTTGCAAAATTTCGGATTGCTTGCGTCAAGGCACCTGAAGCAAAAAGGAATGGAAGCAATCATACTGTTGTGGAAGAGCCCGTTCCAGAGCAATTGGTGATTCTCAGTTTGTCAGGGGTAAGCATAAATCCGAGTGCAATCCAATTCTATGATGGCTTCAATGCCTCCAACCGGAGATCAAAAGACCTTCCCACTCTATCAGAGAGTCAAATTACCAAGCCCATTAGAGGAGAGCTTCTTTTTTTCTTTAAATATTTTTCTATACAGATAACAAAACAATACAATATGAACCTTAGCCATCTAAAAGATAATATCAAAAACTGATTACAATTTTTATGGCTAGGATACAGGTTCCAATTGTGCTTCCCTTTACCGTATATCTTGATTAATTGCCCCCCCCAAAACCCCCCACGTCAACCACCCTTGCCCACTTCTACCCACCTCCCTCCCACCCCCATCTGGGTTACTTGAATCAATACATTGATTTAATTGTCTGGAAGGCCTGATTTAAAGTTCTGTACCTATCTTTTCCTTCCGTTTTATCGATTAAACGAGACCATTTTCTAAACCAATCTTGTCTTGGCTGAATATTCAAATATTTATTTTTCTTTTCATAGATGAAATTGTTAATTAAATATTCAGAGAGATAAGACCACCAGGTTTTCAGGTCCCACCTTGTTTGATCTTTCCAACCTCTGGTGATTGTGGCATGTTTAGCGGCTATCATAAATTTCAATATATCTGACCATTCGTTATTTCCCTCCTTTACCTCTATGGTGAGGGACAGAAATTGAGCTTTATTCCAATGTAGTTTTTGCCCTATGTTGGGGTTCAGCCTGTGTGTGAACTTGAACCTGACTCTCTGATTGTATTTCCTGATGCCCATGTAGATGTCAATGTGAATTCTGAGGCCAATTTAGATGATGGTTTGAGTAGTGAAAATCCTACAGCCTTCGAAAGCGAAAGTCAAGATTCCCATGAGAACATACATTCCAAGCCAAGCGGAGACGGTTCACTCCCTTTTCCTCCCAGTTTTAGCTTTCCAGAGAATCAAGCACCTGGCCTGCCTAATGAGGATAGGCGGGGGCAGATTTGGCAGAGTCGGGGAGAAGCTCAATGTTTACGCAGGTCAGCCAGATTGAAAGAAATCCAAACAAAATCTTCAGGCGTGTCTCGCAATAGATTTCTTGGCCTTAAATATGCCTGTTCTGAATCCAGCTTCAGACCAGGCATCGTTCCAGATTCATGTGCCAGCGTTTGCAGGTCTCCTGATTCAAGCAGCCTTGTTCCTCAGAGGTTTTCTAGTTGTCCTAAGTACGGTTAGTGATTTGCTAACAGGTTCCAGGATTCAACAGTTTAGCTGTGGGCTTCATGATCTTGTTTATGGACATTTCTTGTTGCTGATTTTTACTGTGGCTTTTTACCTTTGCATTTTTTCCTCTATTTTGTATTCATCTTTCATCAATAAAAAAGGATTGTTTTCCTGAAGCCAAGTGTGGTGGATTGTTGTCTGAGGGTCTAGTTTCCTGCTCTGGGTTGCAACATCCTACTATTTCCTCTATTACTTCTCTAACAGTATTATAATATTTTTGGATTTCAGAGCAGTCCCACCACATGTGTGAAAAAGTACCAGTCTCCCCACATTTATGCCAGCATTTGTTACAAGTGTTTTTCATAATATGAGCCAATTGAGAGGGGGTCCTATATCATTTTAAAATTATTTTCTTTTGTGTGTCTTTTATTCTTCAATGTTTAATTTTTTGAGTTTTATCGATCCAGGAGTTTACTAAGTTTTCATTAAAGTTTATATCCTGTTTCCAGGCCTCTACTAAAGTATTTTTTGGATTATAGGATAAGGCTATTCGTTCCTTATATATTTCCCCTATAATGCCTTTCTCTTTTTCTGTTTTCCAGCCTATTATTCTATCCAATGGGGCATCTGATGTTTCTTTCTTTTTTATTTCTTGTGCTCTTTGCAACAAGCCTAACCAAGCTATCCAATACTTTGAGCCACATTTGTCCTTTATCTTATCCCATTTTTAATATCCCCTGGAAAATAAAGATAAAACATTTAGAAATTTAATCAGGTCCCTGAAAGAGAATGGAGTAAAGAGGAGAGCTTCTTAAACTATGGATCAGGACCCCAAACGGGCTGCCATGGCTGCATGTTGGGTCACATGTGCGCTCCCGTCTCGTCTCTCACGCAAACACATCTCTCTCCTCTTTCCTTTCTCTCATTTATGCATGTGTGTCACTCTCCCCTTCCCCTTTTAATCTTTTATCTACTTGGGGCCGGGTAAAAAGGGGCTGCAAGTCGAAAAACCTTAAAAAGCTCTGCATTAGAGGACACAAGCAAAGGTCTACCAGCAAAGTAAAGGATCTTGCTTTTACCACTGATATTGACCGAGGCCAAAAGTCTGTGTTAGCTCAAAAGCAAGCTGCACAAAGTGACCTTACTCGGAATGGGCCGGAGCACTTCTGGGATCAGAACCTCAACCAGCCCCTGGTACAGCAAGTTGTCGCAGTCCTTTGTCCATTTGAGGACGGGTTCGTACTTGGACAAGGTCACCAAGCAGCTCTTTGGGAGACGCTTCTCTGCTTCATCATGGCTGAACAGAAAACACAGACACAGGGTTAATGAGCATTGTCCCAAGCCCTCATTCACAGAGAGAAAGAAGATGGAAGCAAAGAGTGAAGGAAGAAAGGAAGGAAAGAGGTAGAGAAGGAAGCAGAGAAGGAAAGAAAAAAGGGGAAGGAAAGAAGGAGTGAAGGAAAGAGGGAAAAGAGGAGAGAAAGAGGGGGGAAGGAAAGAAGGAAAGAGAGAAGGAAGGATGGAAGCAAAAAGCAAAGGAAGGAAGGAAAGAGGTATAGAAAGAAGAAAGGAGAAAAAGGGAGGGAAGGAAAGATGGAAAGAGAGAAGGAAGGATGGAAAAAACGAAGAAAGGAAGGAGAGAAGGAAAGAAGAAAAGGGAAGGAAGGAAAGAGAGAGCAAAGGAAGGAGGGAAAGGAGAAAAAGAGGGAGGAAAGGTTGGCCATAGCAACACATAGCGGGTACAGCTAGTATTTTATGTATTTGTCTGTTTGTAGGTTTGTCAGTCTACTTTTTCAGTGTAATTGATTTAAAAAATGGGAAGGGGAAAAGCTATGTATATCACTTGGAGCTCACTGGCAGAAAAGATGGGATTCAACTGTAATTTATATCTATATTTTCTATATTTATATTTATATCTATACAGTAAAAGTGAAAATACATATGTATGTATGTATGTATGTATGTATGCATATATGCATGTTTGAGGATACATATCTATGTTTCTGTGCAATTTTTAAGACGGCTCTCACTTCCAGAAAGCACTGTGACTCCCGCAATCAATACATCTRGACCAAACATGGCACACAGGTCCACCTTGGCAAACAGAAAATACTGGAGATTTGGGGGGGGGGCAGCGGAGGGGAGTGACACATCCAGGGACACCCCACATCCAGAGTGAACTTCCAGAGATCGTAGTGAACCCCATCAATGATGGCACACATACCCATCATGACAAACATAAAATACTGGAAAGGTATTGATCCTGGATGATGGGAAATGCAGTTCACCCCACATCCAGAGAGCCCTGTGACACCCCCCCCCCCCCACTGATAATGGATCTGGAGCAAACCTGTCACACATACCCATCATGACCAACTTTAAATACTACTGGGGTTTTGGAGCCAATGTCAGAGGATCATGGGAGTTGCACTCTACCCACATCCAGAGACTACTATGAACCCCACCAATGATGGCTCTGGATGAAACTTGGTACACATGCCCATCATGACCAACTTTAAATACTGACACGAGTTCAGGAGGAATTGACCCCCAATGTTGGGAGTTGCAGTTCACCCATACTCAAAGAGCACTGTGAACTCCACCAACGATACAGCTAGACTAAACTTAGCATACATACTCAGCATTTTGAATACTGTCAGGGTTTGGGGAGAATTGGCCCATACTGTTGGGAGTTGTAGTTAACCCACATCTTTATTTTCTAATGGGAACATTCATAAAATCCCAAAACAAACAATGACTACGTTTGATATTTATCATGACAAAATGCCTTCAGGTTAGGCATCAACATAAATTGACAAGCACCTAAGCTAGTAAATAAATAAAAATTTTCCTAATCCCTGTAGTCAAGAGGAATTGTTTGAACTGCAGACGCCTTGCAGGAACACTCACATAACAATGGAGGTGGCTTCGCTAGGCTGGTTCATATTGTACCGCCAAAACGTCTTCCAGAGGGTCTCCACCAGGGTGAACTGTAGGTTGACCATCACATCAACAATGGCCTGAGAAGGAGGAGAAGTAGATGAACAATCCAATTATGGATCTTCTAGGCACGACACTCCCTCCTAAATTAACTTTTATGCCAATGAGATTATGGACTGCTCATAACAAATGAATACACCTGTTGTTCAGAACATTCCATTTCTGAATTCAAGGTCAAGAAGCTCCAGTAGAAGGTTTCAGATAGTTGCAAGAGCATCGAGCTGCGCCAATGAATTCACAGACAGACTCAATACAATTTCTTTCAGCCTGGAACCAAAAGGTTGCTTAGATCCTAGCTAACACACATTTTGGTGCCTCAAATGTTAGACCTGTTTCTGGACTTGCTGATTCCAAAAATGGCACCAGTCCCCCCCCCCCCCCATCAGCTCTAGTTTTTTAGATACAGACCATATGCCATGTGCCAGTCGCCATCTGCTTGCCCACAGAAAATTATGATAACCAAATCTAAGAAAATAAAACTGATGGGGTTTATCCAAAACCATTTTCTGAATCAGCTCCCTCAGGAACAGGCCTATAAACACTGGACCTCTTCACAAGTACCTAGCCAGGGTCCCATTTTGCCAGCAGTCATGCAGCCCTCCTTCTTTCCCCTATCAGACAGGGACAATGGGACAAGGCACTGTCCCCATCAGATGGAGGAAAGAGCAGCAACTCATGTTGCCGCATTGCCCTTTCCCCAATCACATGGGAGAAAGGGCCCAAAAATGTGAGTGGCTCCATTGGCGTTACCAGAAAAATACTTACCTCTCCGTAGTTGCCAAGGAAGTGTCTTACAATGCTTCCTTGGCACTTGGAGGGTAGATGGGCCAGGGCCTGCTGAGCCCCATCCCCAAAGTGCTGCAAAGGAGTAATTTGCCTCAGTGTGATGAAGTGGCAAGACACCAAGAAATTTTGTTGTTGTTTTTTGGCTGTGTTATTCTAGATATGTTGAGCACACAGAGTATTTGCTTACAATGCGCTTTATCTCACCCGCTAGTGCAATTAAACCCCGTTGTTTCGTCCCACCTGAACCTCCTTCTAGATACATTATAGTACTTATCTCATCTAGAGTTTTTAAACATTTTAGTCTCTGCAACCGTCCCTGCCCATCGTGATCGACTATTGTGATTTTATTTTGTATTGTGTGCTTATTTTGTATTGCTTTTTATTTTTATTATATTTTATTGATGTATTATTTTATGTTGTATATTTGCTTTGATGTAATTGTTGGGCTTGGCCTCATGTAAACCGTCCCGAGTCCCCTTGGGGAGATGGTGGTGGGGTATAAATAAAGCTTTACTATCATTATCATTATTATTAGAGAGTGGACGGTGCAGCCTACACACCAACTCTCCTCGGCGGCAGCTACACCTTGCCGCCCCTTCCCTCCAACAGCCATCAAGTAGGAGGTGACCAAGAGACTTCAGCTCTTCCAGAATGGAGGGTACAGCCTACACACCAACTCTCCTCGGCAGCAGCTACACCTCACTGCCCCCTCCCTCCAACAGCCATAAAGGAGGAGGTGAAAAGGAGGTCAGGAGACTTCACTCCTCCAGAGTGGAAGGGGAAACCTACACACCAACTCTCCTCAGGGGCAGCTACACTTCATTGCCCTTCCCCATCCTCAGTCTACTGGCAAGTGATAGCTCACACCTGACTTATGACACTTCGACTGATAAAATCTATGTTCCTCTGGACTGTTACGAAACTGATCAGTAGCCTACTACCATCATCAGATAAGACTCTCCCTCCACACACCCCAAGGACCTCATATCACATTTACCATCCCCCAAGAAGGCCCWGGACTTTTTTTACCCTCCCCATTTTGTATTCAATCTGTACCTAAATAACTTTTGTGTCTGTTGGGATGTGGGGGGAGCAGGGAGGGTATAAAAAGGAGGGCTGAGATGCTATGGAGAGAGAATTGGGAAGTGGGGGGGGGGGAGGAAGAGATGGGATCTACATTGTTAATTGAAGCAATAATATGTTTCATGCTTATGTCTATATTTGATGTTTTTATAGTTTTAACGGTTTTTATATGTTATTGATTTAGATATATATGTGAGGCATTGAATTTGCCATTTATTATGATGTAAACCGCTTTGAGTCCCCCCAGGGATGAGAAAAGCGGTATAGAAATGTAGTTAATACATAATTAATAAAAATTATTATTATTATTATTATTATTATTATTATTATTACAATGCTGACTGTTGTGGAACTCAGCTACTCTAAGGAGTGTGTTTTTCATAATTGCATCAGATTAACTTTAACTGTTTACCTACATACAGTATCTTTTTTCTGCATGGATGTTAATGGCACTTTAATTTCAAAACAGATTTCTTTCCCCCTGAGTGAAGTGCGTGAGTGGATGTGTTTGTTGTTGTGACTATTTCACACATATGGGCTCTAACTTATGGCTCGAAACATTCGCCAGACTTTAGGAAATACAAGCAGATGGCAAGATGCTTCTCAAGACTTATCTAGCTCCTTCAGGTTAGGCATCAACATAAATCACCATTTCAAATGGGCGAATGAACAATCCTATCTTTACTAGGAACTGGCATTCAAAGTCATGTGGAAACAAGCCGAAAATCCCTTTCAAGCTGTTCACACAGCTTAACCAACAAATTCATCAGTTTTCAAATCAGTTATGCAAGGGGCAGTGTACTGTTCTGACAATGTAGGGCCTTTTCACATGACCTTGGTGGCATTTACAAAGCTGTTTTGAACAGGTAAGAGTGGTCTAGCAGTCAGATTGCCAGGGAAAAAGTTAAGGGAGAATTTTATTTGAATTAAACTTAACCACTAGCAAAAACAGTAAGTTAATTAAAAAAGACAAGTTGGTCTGATTCTACTTTCACTGATGGAATTTGGTTTGGAACGAACTGGAGTACCATAGATTCTCTAAGCATCCATACCAGTGCCAGTCTGCTAAGGAGTCACATAACCTGTTTTTTTTCTTCAATCCTCCCTTTAGTGTTCAGTTTCCACTGTGGAAGATATTCCCCACACATACCTCACAATGTTCTCTATAGAGCAACTGGAAAGCCTTCACATCTTCAGGCCCAATGCCCTCAGGGAGGGGCTTCCCTTGTAGATCTATCTCCGCAAAGTCAGGCAGGCTACGAGAAGCGTCTACACAGAAAGAAGAAAGAGAAGTGAAGACTTGGAGGGAGCCCCATTTTGTTATCATTCACTCAAAAATGAACCCATAGTTTTAGGTATCTCTATATACTGTATTTTACTGCATAACAGTTGCCAATGTGTAATATAGTCGCACCTCCATGTTGGGGTGGCAAAATTGGTGGTTTTGTGTTCTTTGCATAATATTAACAGTGCCTTTTGGTGCTGATTTCCTCCCTTCCATCCGTCCACCCCGCCTCCCTTCTTTGAAGGCAAACCGGATTTAAAAACCTGAAATGGAGATTTCTTGAACTTGGTTCTTCCCTCCTTTCTCCAAAGGGTACCATGTCAGATTTTGTAAACTGCCTTGCCTTTGGAGAAGGAAGGGAGGGAAGAGGAATCTTCCCTCCTCCTTCCTCCAAGGCAAAGCAGTTAAAAAAAAAGCAACCAAACAGAAATAGAGCTGTTTGTTTGTGGCTAAATTATTCCTCCTTATCCTCCTATCTCAAAGGTAAGATTGTTCAGGTTTAAAAAAAAAAAAAGGCAACCAGAGAATCAACAGTGGAATGTTTCCTCACATAATAGTCACACCCTCTTTTTTTGATTATAAAGAGAATTATGCTCTGAAATACGGTATTTGGATTCAGATTGTCTAATGGCTTGAGACATGTCCCCACAATAGTATGATCCCCATATCTTCAGGACGAGAACATCCAATTTCATTTACCTGTGTCTGACAAAATATGAACTGTCTAGGAATTTCTGGGTTATCTAGGAGATTCTATGGTATGCTTCCACCAAAGCTTGACCTAAGAGTCACACTGAAGGACCTAGCAAATGCCCAGAGAGTTGTGCTCTGCAGAAATTTCCTAGATCCTCCAGCATGACTCTGTGGTATGATTCCACCTTCAGCACATTCAATAGAGTTCAATATTACACACAATTTTGCAGCTCTAGGCAAAGTCCTTGAACAGATCCCCCATAAATATAAGGGTCATACTGTACACAAAAGTTAGGTGGATTACACTGGCCAACACACATTTTGGTGCCTCAAATGTTAGACCCGTTTCTGGGTATATCTGACCTGCTGATTCTAAAAATGACACCAGTTTTACCCTATCATCTCTAGTATTTGAGAGGCATATGTCTCACACATTTTTTCCTGTAATATTTAAATTGATATATTTTAAGCATGAAGGAAACATATTAAAATAAAATATATACTTCATGAAAATCTACTTTTCATACCAAAAGCACAGATTTATGATACAAAATTTTCAGTCATTCAACACCCCATATCTAAGACACTAAAACTGATACAGTCTATCCAATGAATCAGTGTTGCAAGTAATCCCAGAACAGACATAAAAACCAAGGCACCAAGAAATTTCTTTTGGGTGAGTTAGGTTATCAATTAAGCTACACGGTGGGGCATAGTAAGCTCCCATATTTTGAGGGGGTACTATGTGATTTGTCATGGGAGCAGATTGATGGGGTACGTCCAGTTCAGCAAGTTAGGCTCTGCCATTTTCATTGCCCATCCTGAGTTGGACTGGTTGGACTTTGTTCTTTAAGTGTATTATAAGAACAACCATTCTGTGATAACGATGCAATGTGTTTTCTGTACATTTGTTATGCTCAGATGAAATGCATCTGTACCAGATTTGAAGATGACTTTGTTATAGATTTCTAATATTTGGGGAACTGGATCCAAACTGAAAAGAAAATCACCTGGCAGGCCTAGGAGCATTAGAATGCCAGAAAATGTGGAAGCAGTAAGAGGATCTGTTCAGAAACATGCCATGGTACTGGGAATATCAAGATGGAGTTTGTGGAAGATTCTGCCTGCCAGTTTAAAACAAAATGATTTGCCTGATAGGATTTTTGAAACCCATTAAAACAAAATTGCTTTTATGTACTTTTTAGAAAAATATACATTTTTTGTCTAGATAGCTTGGTGCAATTTTTATACCCCTTCAAAATGTGGGAGATCTTCATGTCCTACCCTGTATATATATTACACATACACAAAGTCTCAAAGAGCTGTTTTCCAGAAACCAGGTAGTTCCTGACATCACCGAGTGTAGGAATAAACCATATGTGCGATTCACAGTTGACCACGATGGGAAAGTTGGTGGTACATCTCTCCCTGCTTCCAGCACGGACACCTCACATAGTTTGAAGTTCCTGAACACAGAAAAGAGAGCAGGTCTTCTTACCCAGGAATTGCTGGTACTGTTGCACTTGGGCACTGATATCAGAGAGCCCAGAGGCCTGCTGTTGCCCCACAGCCACTCCATTGGTCATGCCCTCCATCTTCTGAGTGGGTTTGAACCTGAAAAGCAGAGCAACTTTGGGTCAGGGCATGATGGAATACCAACTACTAGATGTGATGATGGAGAGGGGAGCAAGCATAGTATCAGGACAGGGAGGAGGCGAGATAAGAAATCACACCGTGACGAATTAATACATACATAAATGTTTTTCTTCCCCTGCCGAAAAACAATTAAATAACTTAAATATCCAGTACTGTAGATAAGAAGTATTTAAATGACTGAATGTAGGGCGAAGGAAGCGCCAGGAGACATAGAGGAAAATACTCCGCCCAACAATCAAACAACCGAAAATTGCTGACTTTTATAACCATAAAGTTTCCACTATGAACTGCTTCTCAGCTTTAGTTGAAAATTTATTTATTTTTTTATTTACAGTATTTGTATACTGCTTTTCTCACCTCTAGGGAGACTCAAAGCGGTTTACACGCAAGTCATGGCAAAAATTCAATGCCAATACAAACAATTACAATTATACACTACAATTAAACATAAATCAAATGAAAACAATAAATCCATAAGCAATAAAACAATAATTAAAACAATAAAACAGTCTCAAAATGACAAGGAAAGTGAGGAAAGAGAGGAAGATAAGGTGGCCAAACAACCTTATGAAAATATAAATAATATAGAGGAGTCAAACAACACTAGAAAGGACAAGGGAAAACTGAAAAATATTAAGAGACCAGAACTGCTGCTGAAACATAATTTGATTCTGATTAAAAGAAGTCAGCCTGAGATCCCACAACCTACGCAGGGTTTAAGTGATCCTTTGGATAAAAAAGATCTATCCAACCCAGACCCACTGTCACCCAAAGGGCTCAAAGTCATGGAAGCAGCCCCACAGACATCATGCCAAGTATAGAGCGGTGAGTTACCCTGTGAAATAGAGCTAGACCTGCATTCTACCAGAGCCCCACCTTATGAATTATACAATGAAGAGGTTGGGAATCATGGGCCGAGGAGCTGGCCAAGTTAGTCCAAAGCACAGACCTGACTCCTGTGAAGTTACTGAACAGCTGTGTCCCCATATCGGGTAGAATTGAGTTCAGACAAAATAGAAGACTAGGAAATAATGGTTGTGTTTACATTGCTCATCTGAGACAATGAAATGAAATCATATCAGACTGACTAAGAAATCCAAACTCAAACTCACTTTCTATCCACTCATAGTGTCAGAACAGTTTGTGTGACTATGTCTTGTAAAAGGTGAGGATGCTTGGAGAAAGGGCCTGTGAAGAGATTCTGCACTGAACTGAGTGCAGGGCAGAGAAAGGGACCAAACATACCAGAAGGAAACCATGGAAGCCATAGTAGACACTGGGAAATAGGACAGAGCTTAGGAGACCACAGGAGAACCCAAGAAGCTTGCTTTTACCAAGTCAAAGCCAAGCATTGCTGTACCACAGAGCTATGGACATTTCCCTGAGCTGTTTCTTACCTCTGCTTCTGGGAAAATGGTTGTTGCCTCATGGCCAGGTGTTGCTGGTCCTCCATGAGCCGAAGCAATGGGGAGTTGGCTTTGATACGCAACCCATAGTAGTGGTATTTGGAATTCCCTCTGGGGAGGAGGAAATAAAGTTAAAATCCCATACACCTGCACACAAATCCATTTAGCTTCAGCAAAGCACACACTGCTGAAGACCAAGTATTCTTTCCCAAAGTTAAAGCCACCTAACAAGACATTTCAATGGTCAGAGTTGAAATGGTCATTTGTCTTGAGCAAGCAGCGAGGCCTACTTGTAATATGACAAAACATCTGAAAAACTTCTTTGTATACTTACCGTACATACTTGAGTATAAGCCGACCCGAATATAAGCCGAGGCACCTAATTTTACCACATGAAACTGGGAAAATGTATTGACTTGAGTGAGAAATGCAGATGCTACTGATAATCATCAGTAGGTTAAATGTTTTTGTGTATTTACATAAAACTGTAATTTAAGATAAGACTGTCCAACTGTCCAAACCATTATGCTAACCTTCCTCAATGTAAATGTGCTTACTTATCCTTCCAATAATAATAGAGTAAAATAATAAATGTAATAATAATAATAATAATAATAATACATAGAATAAAATAGTAAATGTAATAAAAATAACAGTACAGTAAAATAATGTAAAAGTAATAATAATAATACATAGAATAAAATAATAAATGTAATAATAATAATAATATTAGAGTAAATAATGGAAATTTAATAACAGTAATAGAGTAAAATAATAAATGTACTAAAATAATACTAATAACATAGTAAAATAATAAATAACCTTGACTCGAGTATAAGCCGAGGGGAACCTTTTTAGCCTAAAAATGGGGCTGAAAAACTAGGCTTATACTCGAGTATATACAGTTATTTGTTTGCCCTGACAATAAACCTATGAGACTGTTTTGTTATCATACCAAACCTTTTTATTTATTTTTCTCGACAGTTTCTAATTCACCAGATATGGAAGTAGGGCTGAAAGTGATTATGCATGATATTGACTATAAACTCAAACTAGAATCAGAAAAATACAGGTTTGTAACTTCCTTCTGCCATGTACAACTTCAGCGGCAAGGCCTCTTCTTAACTCCACTCCCAGGTACAACAATATTACCTATGCTACTTTTATAGTAGAGTCAATAAAGCAGTGCCTGTGGGCAGCACAGTACCTGTGGTCACATCTCTTCTGCCTGCAACAGCAACTTGCCTCTCAAATGTGTTAACTTTAACCCCCCCCCCCCCTTGAATGGCTAGAAAATGCAGCTACAACTGCCCCACACTTCACTTGATTTCTATTACTCAGAATGCCTGTGGGCCCTCCTTTCCAAAAAGACAAGATGATGGTGGACTGACCAAAAATTGTATTTCTCTAGACAGGATGGAGGAAATTAATTGAATTTAAACTACAGTTCAAACAAGCTACATTGGAAACTTGCTTTGATTTATCCAAAGATGAAGTCATAAGATCAGCACGGCCTTAACTCATAACCCAAAACTCTTATAATTGTCCCACGGTGCCCCCTATAATTTGTTTGTCCATTATGTCAGAGTCACAAAAAATGTATTTGCTGTTACGTAATTATGTCTCAATCTTAGAAAATGTCTGTATGAGAATTTCAAAAGACCTTTACTACAATTGATTAAATACATATACACTACTTGTTAAACAGAAATATGTACATTAGCAGTGTTCTACCTGTGCCCCCCCCCCCCCAGGGGTTTGGGACCCCAATTCCCAAAAAGCATGGCCAGCTTGTCAAGAATGCTGAGAACTAAAGTCCAAAACACCTGGAGGACATAGGGTTAGATACCACTTTGTAATGGCAAATCCTAAGATTTTAAGATTCCTGTGGTTATTGGGCGTATCATAAAATAAAACACATTCTTTTCAACATCATGTATTATGCTTTCTGTTTGCTGTGGTTTTGTAGTAGTTATTTTTTAAAATTTGTCTGTTGGATTTCATTTAACTCACTAGTTCCACAGGGTAATTTGCTTTCTGCAAAAATAAAGAGTACTGCAAGGGATCATGCCTACCATAGCAAGCATTTTGTAAATGGCAAGCACCTTTGTAACAATGTATTGTCGAAGGCTTTCATGGCCGGAATGACTGGGTTGTTGAAGGTTTTTCGGACTATAGGGCCATGTTCTAGAGCAGTGGTTCTCAACCTGGGGTCCCCAAATGTTTTTGGCCTACAACTCCCAGAAATCCCAGCCAGTTTACCAGCTGTTAGGATTTCTGGGAGTTGAAGGCCAAAAACATCTGGGGACCCCAGGTTGAGAACCACTGTTCTAGAGGCATTTTCTCCTGATGTTTTGCCTGCATCGATGGCAAGCATCCTCAGAGATAGTGAAGTCTATTGGAACTTTGAAAGTGGGTTTATATATCTGTGGAATGACCAGGGTGGAGCAAAGAACTCTTGTCTGTTGGGGCTAGGTGTGAATGTTTCAACTGACCACCTTGATTAGTATTTGATGGTCTGGCAGTGCCTAGCTCCAACAGACAAGAGTCCTTTGTTTCACCCTGGTCATGCCACAGATATATAAACCCTTTTTCCTAGTTCCAATAGACCTCACTACCTCTGAGGATGCTTGCCATAGATGCAGAGGAAACGTCAGGAGAAAATGCCTCTAGAACATGGCCATATAGTCCGAAAAAACCTACAACAATCTTTGTGACACTTTCAAAGGACAACATCAAATATGTGCACTAGTTCCTTCCCCCCTCCCGAAATAAGGAAATCCTGCTTAAAGATTACAAAGACATATCTATGAAACATTTGAACACTCAATATTATAAAAATGTCCATCACTAGTATTATCGCTTATTCCAAGCTAATCAGTATTCTCATAGGACGAGATCTGAACCAAAACTTCCCCAAAATTATTGACTAGCCCAGGGGTCCTCAAACTAAGGCCCGGGGGCTGGATGTGGCCCTCCAAGGTCATTTACCTGGCCCTTGCTCAAGGTCAACCTAAGTCTGTAATGACTTGAAAGGACACAACAACAACAACAATCCAATCTCATTAGCCAAAAGCAGGCCCACACTTCCAATTGAAATACTAATAAATTATAATTATTGTATTGTTTTTAAGTGTTTTGCACTACAAATTAGATATGTGCAGTGTGCATAGGAATTCATTCATGTATTTTTCAAATTATAATCCGGCCCTCCAACAGTTTGAGGGACTGTGACCTGGCCCTCTGTTTACAAAGTTTGAGGAACCCTGGCTAGCCCATAGACATTCTCCATGATTACATACAAACTATGAATATTTTCAGGCACACATACCAAAAAGTCAACATGTTTTCCTATTAATGTTCTACAGATAAGTTACCAAGAAGAAAACACAAAGCTATCTGACCACTGCAAAATGCTGCTTATATAATGCAAATCAGAAAGATGTAAGCTCCAGGATTAGACCTGAGGACTAGTGGGTATGCGACCTCACAGAAAGCATATAAACCCCAGTGGGGAAGCTCTCCTCTGCTTACCTGGTTCCAAGCCGGCGAGTACGGAGACCCATAAACACCGAGCGGATCAGCTTGCCAAAGGATGCTGCGTTGACTGGCTCCAGTTTCTGCTCCTGGCAATGCAGGAGGTAATGGCAGTACAAGGTACTGCGGGGAAGGCTGACGCCCTCAGCTGTCTCATAGTTATCCAACAGCCACTGGACCTGCCAAGAAAGAGGGCTTCACGTTACAGTTTCTTCCAACTTCCCTTCAAACTTTGATGCTCTCCTTTCACTTGCGGTTATTAATTGACAGAGCTCAGGCTTTTTGCCACAAATCTTCCAATTAACAGTTCAAGCACTGTCACTTACTTCTGGGTGGCAGATGCCTGTCTTAGGACCGCTGCAAGAGTTTTGTCCTTGTTTCTACAACCCAGGTCCATAACTAATGCGAGGAGGCAATGCGGCCCTAAGCTTAGCCTCTTTTAAACAAGGACCACTGGGCTCTTTACATGCCTTGGCTGGCTTCTCAATCCAGTCTCTGTTCCATTAATATAGACAGCGCTCTCAGCAGCCATATAGGCAGCAGTGGAAGGATATGGCTGGGTATGTTTCAGGCTACTCAGTATCATCTTATGGTAGTAAGCTGAGAAGAACTCAGGATCATAATGAATCGATATATATATAAATGCTCTGTGCATAATGAGTACCTTAAAAACAAAAGAACCAATGAACGAAATCACACCAAATTTGGCAACAAAACGTCTCACTACACAAGGAGTGACCATCACTCAAAAAATTATGATTTTGTCATTTGGGAGTTGTAGTTGCTGGGATTTATAGTTCACCTACAATAAAAGAGCACTCTGAACTCCATTAACGATGGAATTGAACCAAACTTGGCACACAGAATTCCCATGACCAACAGAAAATACTGGAAGTGTTTGGTGGGCATTGACCTTGAGTTTGGAGTTGTAGTTCACCTACATCCAGAGAGCACTGTGGACTGAAACAATGATGGATCTGGACCAAACTTGGCACAAGCACTCTATACGCCCAAATATGAACATAAATGGAGTTTGGGGGATATAGACCTTGACACTTGGGAGTTCTAGTCACTGGGATTCACAGTTCACCTACAATCAAAGAGCATTCTGAACCCCACAAATGACAGAATCGGGGCAAACTTCCCACACAGAACACCCACAACCAACAGAAAATACTTAAATTCATCCAGTCCAACTTCTTTCATCAGGGCAAGAAAACGTAATCAAAGTCCTCCTGACAAAGAGCCATCCAGCCATAGATAGATAGATAGATAGATATAGATATGATTCACACACAGAGAGAGATATAGTATCATAGATTTGAAAGGGGTCCTTAAAGGAGGACAATGATATCTTGCATGTTCCAGGGTGGGCAAACCAGACACTCGCCACATCAACACTGACAAAGAAACAGCAAGAAGTACTAGATATGATTCACACACACAGAGAGATATAGTATCATAGATTTGAAAGGGGCCCTTAAAGAAGGACAATGATATCTTGCATGTTCCAGGGTGGGCAAACCAGACACTCGCCACATCAACACTGACAAAGAAACAGCAAGAAGTACTGTTTACCCACAAGCATAAAGACATCACATATATTAGAAACCAACACTTTCTCATTACTTTATTTTCCAGATCAAGACACTGGGCCACAGCAACGCGTGGCAGGAAACAGCTAGTATAATATAAGACAAACTGGGCACAGGCTGATTTCACAATCCGTGAACTGGATCAGCACTGTCTGGAAAATAGTATTCCTGCTAGACATGACTTAAAGAGAAAAAGATATGAGGTTACAGATGCAATGCTCAGGGCTGGAAAACCCAGATAGCATTGCCCTCCCACTACTTAATACATGACAGAATCCTTCAGGAAGCTTTCCTATACCAGTCAAAAGAAGAAAGAAAATGAAAGATGCACTTCTTGCCTGTGTGCTTTGACTCTATGTAAGTGATATGGACACAGTGTTCTTTTAATGCAGGCCTGCACAACCTGTGGCCCACCAGTTGTTTTGGACTTCCAACTCCCAGAATCCCTGACCACTGGACAATCTGACTAGTCCCAAACACGTGGAGGCCACAGTTTGTGCAGGCCTGCTTTACTGGGATCCAAAAAACAGCCAAAGTGCCTAATGGCAAAATCATTTTTGCTGAGAACTTTGACAGAACCTGTTTCAGGCGCTGGCACACGGCAATATTTCACATTTGTCAATATATGAGTATGCCTTTGACAAATGTTGTGCCTGCCTTTGAATCTGTGACAAAGCGTGTTTTCACAATGACGACAACTGCCCACTAAACCAAGGGTGGGAAAAGTGTAACCCTCTAGGTGGTCTTCACAACATGATTTCCAACTGGAAGTGGATCATGCTGGGAGTTGTAGTAAAGCAGTATGTAAAGGGCTATGTAAAGGCTACATTCTCCTCTGTGGCTCCCCGACTCTGTAACTCATTACCTGGAGAGATCAGGAAAGCCCCTACACTAGAAACATTTAAAAAGAACCTTAAAACCTGGCTCTTCCACTGCGCCTTTGGCAAGTAGGTGCACAACATGACACTATTGCTCCCCTCAATGCTTCTATCAGTGAAATACATGCCCCCCCCCTCCCCCCAGGGGAAGTTTAGTTTCACAACCCTGTGTATCTTTATGAGCTCCCGGCAAATAACTATTTTTATCTCATTATAGTTTTAAACATTTTATCCTGTACATGTGGCCCGCCCACTGTTTACTATGTTTGTGTTTTTTGTTTATTGTAATGCTATTTTGTTATTGAATTTTTAAAATGTAATTTTGATGATGTTGCTTGTTTTTTGTTTTTTGTTTTATCTTGATGTAATATGTTGTTCGAGCTTGGCCCCAAATAAGCCTCTCAGAGTCCCCATCGGGGAGATGGTGGTGGGTTATAAATAAAGTTTATTATTATTTATTATTATTATTACATTTTGTAAAGAGGTGACGTTTATTGAAGGTAAATTGCCCAGTCTTGCATTTAAGCACGAAAAATCAACTGCAAAAGTACCAGGCGTGGGAGACATGACATAGAAGCAGCATGCAGACTTGGATTGTGTCATTTTAATTGATGTTTTAATGCTTATGTTTTAATTGGTTTGGATTTTAATGCATTTGTTTATTTATCAATATGTATATGTATAGGTAAAGGTAAAGGTAGTCCCCTGACATTAAGTCCAGTCATGTCTGACTCTGGGGTGTGGTGCTCATCTCCATTTCTAAGCCGAAGAGCCAGTGTTGTCCGTAGACACCTCCAAGGTCATGTGGCCGGCATGACTGCATGGAGCGCCGTTACCTTCCCGCCAGAGCGGTACCTATTGATCTACTCACATTTGCATGTTTTTGAACTGCTAGGTTGGCAGAAGCTAGGGCTGACAGCGAAAGCTCACGCCGCTCCCCGGAATCGAACCTGCGACCTTTCGGTCAACAAGCTCAGCAGCTCAGTGCGTTTAATCCACTGCGCCACCGGGGGCTCCCATGTATATGTATATGTAGCATCAAATTGTTGCCTTTGTAAGGCCGTTCTGAGTCCCCTTCGGGGTGAGAAGGGTGGGATACAAATGTGGTAAATAAATAAATTAATAAATGTGTAAATAGGACCAAGATGTCTTCATAGTTTAGAAGCTCAGCAAGAGCTTGAAGAGTAATGCAGCACTTGAAAACGCTAACACAACATTGGGCTACTTTAACAGAAGCATAATGTTCAGGGTACAGGAATACGATAACAGTCCCACCTATTCTACACATACAGCTTCAAGGTGGTGCATAATAGAGCATATACAATTCCCTGTCCTTTCCTCATTCCAGCAGCTGCCACATCCTGGAGAGCTCCTTACTGCTGCTGATCTTTCTTTTCTTTTTTTTCGTGTCAGGAGCGACCTGAGAAACTGCAAGTCGCTTCAACAGAGAAGGGATGATATGGTTAGTCCTAGCTTGGAGATTTGAAGAAATAAGCATGTGTTTACAGATCAAATTATGGTGAGTTCAGAGTCCCTATCTCTTCACCATCTGAATTGCCTTGTCTCCCCTCCCCATCAGCAAACAGCAGCAGCTGGCACCCTTCTTGTTATGTAGTTTATATGTTGTTGAAATTGCCTTTTGTAAACTGTCTTTTATATGTGTGTACACCGCCATGAGTCGCCCTAAGGGGCTGAGAATGGCGGTTAATAAATGCATCAAATAAATAAATAAATAATTCTTTGAGCTTGACGGGTACCCAACATATCTGGCAGTTGAGTTTTTCAGAAAGAGCTTAGTGATGACAGATATCTTTCATAGAAATCTGACTCATTATTGTAGGTCTTCTCAAAAAGAAAAGTGGAGATGGTGCTGAGGAATTCCAACATTCCCTGGAACAAAGTAATGAAAAACTACTGTATAAGGGGAGCACTTGGATTGCCTGCAGAGGGGAGAACCTAAGTTTCCAAGTCCAGTGGACAGAGAGCAGCAAGTGGAAGGGCAGTGGAATGCTTATGTACTTACAGTTGCCGGGGAGGCACGGGTGGTGTGTGAATAGGACTGGCTTGAACTTCCCAGCATGTAGCCTCCTTGAATCACATAGGTCCCTGTACTGCTACTACTGCCGCTGCCACTGCCTCCTCCACCACCAGGAGTGCTACTTCCACCATTTCCTGCACCGCCTCCTCCTCCTCCACCGCCGCTGCCTCCGCCTCCTCCTCCTCCAGCACTGCTGCCTCCACTTGGATTGGTTATGATCTGCCCTCCAGAGACATACATAGGCACTGAGCCACTACTGGCAACTGTCTGGGAGGTTGCTGGGGTAGAGACCTGTGTTGAAGTGCCTTGAGATTCATAGTAGTTTGCTCCAGCGTTCTGAGTGTAGAGAGGGGTCTCTGAGTAAGAATACGTGTTGGAGCGTCTGAAAGGAAGAAAATCATGTCAGGTACTGGTGTCACTATGCTCTCCATGTGGAAAAACGGCAATTCATGATGGATCAGTGGCAGATAAATATATGCACCACCCTACAGCAAGCAGATTGCAGAGCTGACCTCCACTTCCCTGCCAGTCAGCTAAAAAAAAGTATATATTTTTTCATTTGACTACTAAGATGCAAGATGACTAAGGGATGGCCCTTAGGATATTTCTGGTGTTTAAACAAATTCTATCTATTCTCTCATCGGTCAATGGAATTTTAAGCAAATGATGCTCACTCTGTGTTCCACAATCTTGTTTTGGGAAAACAGAAAAAATCTTTATAGTTAACTCTCCACATTCATTGGTATCAGGGGCACAAAATCACAATCAAAGTAAAAAACTGGGGATAAGGAAATTGCTATTTTTTTTACATGAGAAAAAGGCTCTCTAGACCAGGGATCCTCAAACTAAGCCCCAAGGACCGGATACGGCCCTCCAAGGTCATTTACCCGGCCCTCACTCAGGGTCAACCTAAGTCTGAAACTACTTGAAAGCACACAACAACAATCCTATCTCATCAGCCAAAAGCAGGCCTACATTTCCCACTGAAATACTAATAAGTTTATATTTGCTAAAATTGTTCTTCATTTTAATTATTGTATTGTTTTAAGTGGTTTTGCACTACAAATAAGTTATGTGCAGTGGGCCTAGGAATTTGTGCTTTTTCAAATTATAATCCGGCCCTCCAACAGTTTGAGGGTCTGTAACCTGGCCCTCTGTTTAAAAAGTTTGAGGACCCGTTTTAAATGGTTCAGTTTAGTGTTCTGCACTGGGAAACAGATAAAACTTTCCACTTGGCACTTGAGACAGGAACTAGGGAGCTGTATAAGAACTCATATTCAACTTAGCTCTCCATGTATTTTGGCTCGAGCTGATGCTTTTCATGCTAGGCTAGACTCTTTTGTTTCTTATACTGCCAATGAATGTTCTGTTCTGCAACCTCCCATCACAATAATTGGTGCATGTAAATGTTACTCCTTTTGAATTATTTAGCTCATTAACTCCTTCACTTTCATTATTATTTCTGTATATGAAAGAATCCAGAGTGGTGGTTAACTCAATTTCTTCCAATATCACTTCAAAGGTGGTCAGAGTAATCCTGTCAGATGGATCAGGAAGGAATAAAATGGTAAACTATTTATTATTTCCTAACTCCAAAACCTATCTGACCCCCATGCTAAGAACAAGTTCAGCGCGTGTATGTATGTTGTGGATAGATAATGAATTTGTTTCCTCTTCTCCCTGCTTCCAACAGTTTATTGGTGGCCCATATCTCCTGGAACCAAGGAGAGAGGTCCTAAAGCCTAAAAATCCTAGAAACTATGACCAATGGGAGGAAAGAGGCTGGTCACCTCTGACTTGGATGTACCAAAGAATCAATGTACACCAATATGAACAATTGAATCATAAATCAAAAGACCTTCAGGCAGTGGCTCTATAGACGAGATGTAAGTCTTCACTTTTAAGTTCTCACTTGCAAGAACAAATCATTTGAAAAACTTTCTCTCTGGAGGGTGACATTTTTTACTTTTCAGTGATTTCACACTTTCAGCCCTTTTTTAATTATTGCAAAACTTTGGGTTTGGCAGAAAACCAACCCTTTAATGCAAAAATGGCTGCCGGTTTGCTACCGGGACCAATTCAAAGTGCTGGCTTTGGCCTATAAAGCCCTAAACAGTTCTGGCTCAACTTACCTGCCCGAACATGTCTTCCATTACGAACCATCGAGGACTCTAAGATCGTCTGGGAGGCCCTGCTCTCGGTCCCGCCTTTGTCTCAAGCACGTTTGGCGGGGACAAGAGACAGGGCCTTCTCAGTGGTGGCCTCTTTGCTATGGAATACCCTCCCTAGGGAGATTAGATCTGCTCCCTCCCTCTTAATGTTTCGGAGGCAAGTTAAAACATGGCTATTCGAGCAAGCGTTTACAAATGCAGAGTAGCTAATATAGGAAATCAAACGATTTGACAATGGAACTGGATAATGATTGATAATAATGAGACGCTAATGATGTTGTTTTTATTGCTTTTGAGGTGTTTTATATTGTTTAATGTTTTAATCTGTATTATGTTTTTATATATACTGATTTGTTGGAAACCGCCTTGAGTCACTGATTGGCTGAGAAAGGCGGTATACAAATACAGTAAATAAAAGAAATAAATAAAATAAAAATGCACAAAACCTACAATAGATCTGAAACCTATTGGCAGCCCCAACTGGAGCAACCCATTAAATCAACTGCTGAATGGTGAATCAATATTTCTGTAAATCCAAATGATTCAACAGGTTTGTTTTCCTTGGGATAACCAACAGGATTCAGGTCAGTGTATCGCTACAAAATACATTCTTTTCTGTTTATAAGAGGTGGGTTTTTCACATCTTTTTTCTGAACAAATAGATTTTGTTTTGCGAGATATCTTTTCTCATCAAGGGCGAGAAACGTTGTGACCATTCTTAACATCACAAGTAGCTGAAGGTGACTGCAGCAGACTCAAACTCCAAGGAAGCAAATAAAAAGGCATTGTTTTCCTTATCACAAAGCAGTACTCACATGGTACTTGCTGTGTAGCTGGCATCTCCTCCTTCCACATACTGCACCTGGTTAGGATAGACATGCTGCACAGGTACTTGCTGGAGCTGCTGGACCTGAGGGAGCAGGGAGTAGCGATGACAGGAATGGAAAACTGAGGTGAGAAAGGAAGAGCCAAGCTTACTGTGATCCAATTTTGTCCCTCAGGTTACTTTAGGACAGAGGTGAGGTACCATAGCTCTCTTTGTCTTTGGATTGAAATGCCAACCGATGGCAATCAACATGACTAACGGTCAGGAATGATGAGAGAGATAGTGAAATGGGTTGTTGTAGGTTTTTTCAGGCTATATGGCCATGTTCTAGAGGCATTTCTCCTGACGTTTCGCCTGCATCTATGGCAAGCATCCTCAGACGTAGTGAGACCTCACTACCTCTGAGGATGCTTGCCATAGATGCAGGCGAAACGTCAGGAAAAATGCCTCTAGAACATGGCCATATAGCCCGAAAAACACTACAACAACCCAGTGATTCCGGCCATGAAAGCCTTCGACGATATAGTGAAATGTTTGGAGAGCCTCAGATTCCTCACCCTTCTCTATAGAAAAGGCCACATTTCTGATCTATAGTAGATCTGGCATGTGGTTAACATTACTTGTCCATGGATTACATTTCTTTGTCTATTGCACCTGTCACAGAGATATCATCGCCCAGTAACAAGAAAAATGCATAAAACCTTTGGAATAATTTGTCAAAAGCTCATTGAGGAAGAAATTTCTGACCGACGGGACAGATTTATTTAAGTTGCCCCTTGCAGTGGTAGGCCACCAAGTTACTTAAAATCCTCACAATTCTCAAGGGCACATGTATACACTACATTTTTACAGCTACATCTGAAGTGTTTTAAGGGTACATCCAAAGTACCAAAATGTATATTTAAAAGAGACACATCTAGAAATGTGCACATCATGTAAGCATGTGAGTAAGGAAGTTACGACTGTCTTCAGCTGCTTGCTGGATTTTAGACATTCCTTTTTTAAGAGTTCCAAAATCATGCTGAGAGCATTTACGGATAATGGCCCTCCTTTGTGAACAGACTCTCTCCATGTAGAGAGGACAATGAAAACAGCGAAGAGGGAGTGCAGACTTAGGATTCTCACCCCCACTTGCTTTCTCTTGCTTACACATAAAGAGAACACTGAACAGGCTAAAGATAGCACAGTATTGCTTTACAGCACAGTACTTGCTCCTTATAGTTCTGAAGTCATCTGCAGAACATTACACTCCCACTTCTGTCGAGACAGGGTCAACCCTGGCCTAGGAAGCTGCCCCTGTTCCAGTTTTGGACAACAAAATCCAAGATGTCATGCAATCATCAACCCCAGAGATTACTTCGGTCCCGACCAAAATTTGCTTGAAGTCCCCAACATCCGGACTTATCATCTGTTCTCTACTAGGCAGAGAGCCTTCTCGATTGTGGCCCCTTATTTATGGAATGCCTTGTCAGTTGAAACCTGAACCATCCGAAAGTTACTTGCTTTTCGGAAAGCCCGTAAAACCTTTCTTTTCTAACAAGCTTTCGATGGGTGAATAACTCGGGACTATGTCTGTTCTAGTTTTTATTGTATTTTAAAGTTGGTTGTATTGTTTTAATCTACTGCTGTAAACCGCTCTGAGCCACATTGGGAGTGGCGGTATACAAGTCAAATAAATAAATAAATTGCACGAAGGAGCCCCCGGTGGCACAAAGGGCTAAACCCTTGTGCCAGCAGGACTGCTGATCAATAGGTCAGCGGTTCAAATCCTGGGAAAAGCAGCTCCCTCTGTGAGATCCAGCTCCCCATGCAGGGGCATGAGAGAAGCCTCCCACAAGGATGGTAAAAAATCAACATCCGGGTGTCCCCTGGGCAGAGTTCTTGAAAATAGCCAATTCTATCTGTTTTTATTATTTATTGTTTTCATGATTGCTTATGTACTGTCTAATTATGATTTATGCTTAATTGTGGTTTTATTATTGTGGTTGTTATGGATTGGCATCGCGTCAGTGTCCAATGTATGGCATTGAAGTTTTGCTAGTTATGTGTAAAGCGCTTTGAGTCCCCCTAGGGGTGAGAAAAGCGGTATAGAAATCTAGATAAATAAAAATGTAATGTTCGTTTGTGGTATTCGCAGAACTCAAAACCCCTTGGATGAATTGACACCAAATTTGGACACGATACACTTAACAACCCAATGTATGTCCTTCACTCATAAAAACACTGAAAAACACAGTAGAAGGGGCTTAAAAAGCCCCAAAAAGCTAAATGAGGAAAAGCTAAATGACAATACAGAAAAAAGGGAAGGAAGAGGGAGGGAAGGGGAGAAAAGAAAGAAAGAAAGAAAGAGGGAAAGAAAAAGGAAAGGGAGAAGGAAACATGGAAGCAAAGAGAGAAGGAAGGAAAGAGGTAGAGAAGGAAGAGGGAGGGAAAGAAAAAGGGGGGAGGAAGGAAAGTTAGAAAAGGAAGGAAGGAGAGAAGGAAAGAAAAAAGGGAAAGAGGAAGTGAAGGAAGGGGGGAGGGGGAAGATGTATAGAAAGAGGAAGGGAAGGAAAGAAGGAAAGAGAGAAGGAAGAAAAGAGAGCAAGAAGAGAAAGAAAAAGGGGGAAGGAAGGAAAGAGATAGAGAAGGAAGAAGGAGAGAAAGAGGGAGGAAAGAAAAAGGGGGAAGGAAGGAAAGAGAAGGAAGGAAAAGAAGGAAAGAAAAAGGGAAAAGAGGAAGTGAAGGAAGGGGGAAAGGGGAAGATGTAGAGAAAGAGGGAGGGAAGGAAAGAGAAAGAGAGAAGGAAGAAAAGAGAGCAGAAGAAAGAGAAAAGGGGGAAGGAAGGAAAGATAGAGAAGGAAGAAGAGAGAAAGAGGGGGGGGAAGAAAAAAAGGGGGAAGGAAGGAAGGAGAAAGGAAAGAAAAAAGGGGGGAAGATGTAGAGAAAGAGGGAAGGAAAGAAGGAAAGAGAGAAGGAAGAAAAGAGAGACAGCAGAAGAGAAAGAAAAAGGGGGGAAGGAAGGAAAGAGATAGAGAAGGAAGAAAGAAGAGAAAGAGGGAGGGAAAGAAAAAGGGGGAAGGAAGGAAGGAGAGAAGGAAAGAAAAAAAGGGGGAAGATGTAGAGAAAGAGGGAAAGAAAGAAAGAGAGAAGGAAGAAAAGAGAGACAGCAGAGGAGAAAGAAAAAGGGGGAAGGAAGGAAAGAGATAGAGAAGGAAGGAAGAAGAGGAGGAAAGACAGGAAAGAAGGAAGGAAAGAGGGAGTGAAGGAAAGAAGGAGAGAAAGAGGGAAGGTTGGCCACAGCAACACGTGGCGGGTACAGCTAGTACTGTAAATAAAAAAATAAATACAAAATTCTCTTACACCAGAAGTGACTTACAATTTCTCAAGTCGCAGCTGACATAAAAAAAAATCACTGCAAGATCAGGCATAGCTAGATTGGATCTTATTCATAAATCCATGAGACTTCCATATTTACCCCAAAGACTTCCATATTTACCCCTAATTTAAAGAAATTAAAGTACAATCAAATCAAGTGCTGAAGAGGTCCAAGAATTTCAATTCCTCTGGCAGGATGTGGGGAAGATAAAGTCTGCTCCATCACTAATGAAGTGAGGAAGCCACATCAGAATGGGGGATGGGGGCGAAAGGCGACTTAGAGGAAGGAGATGGTGCCAGCTAGCTGTGCTACCTGCCTCCACAAGAACTAAAACGCACAGAGCTTGCTATTCTTGGATCTCACTGGATGCCTTCTTCAGGACCTACTTTAAGTGCTGTTGCTGCTGTTCCAAACACTAGCACCTGAGGGACTCTCTGAATCTTGACTCTTTGGTCAGGACTGGAGTGATGAGAAGAGAGGAATGGCAGCTGCTCTATCACCACCTTCTGTTGTGGCAGGAGGAGTGGCTGAGGAAGCATGCGGACCAGCTCCACCCACTGCTCCGAGGCGGGATCTAGGGAGTGCATGTAGTGGAGCCTGTGCTCTGAGCTGGATAAACAGCAGCTGGTCAGCTGGGGTAAACTGCTGCTGTTGTCATTGCTGCTGCTGCACTCTAGGGAGAGGCTTTGCTGCACTCCTTGCTGCGGCTGATGCTGCGACTGCTGACTGCTCTTACAATGGCCACTGTCTGTGCTCTAGGTAATAAACAGAAAGACTGAAGCAATCGGGGCTAACAGAGAGGAAGTAAAAAAAAAATCCCTGAAGGGGATGCCAAGGTTGAGTCCAGGAAGTCCCAGTATCTTAGCTGTTCTGTATTGTATTCTGAATTGGAGGGGAGGAGGAAAAACGTTATAAAGCAGAGCTTTCCAAACATTTCATAATAGTGACACATTTTTAGAAATGCATCATTTTGTGACACAGTAATTCAGTCTTACTAGCAAACTGGAAGTTAAACCAACCTCTTGTAAAAGATATGGACATATAACGATATATATAGGGAATTGAGATATCTCATGAAAACCTTTGGTTTACATTTAAAAAATAGGATTTGTAAGTTAATAACATACATTTCCAAGATTTTTGTCATTTCTTGTTACAATACGCCTACACACTAGCCGAGACAAATAGTGTGACTAGACAGACAGTTTGGAAAGCTCTGCTATAAAGCAAGAGAATGGCAGAGCTGAGAATCTTCCCTTGTTTCAAGGTCTAAGAGTTTGAGTGCTCACAAGCAGAGCTTGAGGAAAGTAGCTATAAGGGAAGGGGAATTATTATTATTATTATTATTATTATTATTATTATTATTATTATTATTATTGAGGAAAGTAGCTATAAGGGAAGGGGACTTCTGGGTGACAACTAGCCACATCCTAAAGCGTTTCTCAACCTCGGGGGTCGTGAGGGGGTGTCAGAGAGGTCATCAAAGACCATCAGCAAACACAGTATTTTCTGTTGGTTATGAGGTTTCTATGAGGGAAGTTTGGTCCAATTCTATCATTGGTGAGGTTCAAAATGCTATTTGATTGTAGCTGAACTATAAATCCCAGCAACTACAACTCCCAAATGTCAAGGTCTATTTTCCCCAAAGTCCACCAGTGTGGAGATTGTCTGGTTTGCCTACTCTGGAACATGCAACATATCACTGTCATGCTTTAGGGGTCCCTTTCAAATCTTTGATACTGCAGCTGTCATATACATATATGTGTGTGTGTGAATGGCTGGATGGCCCTTTGTCAGGAGGGCTTTGATTATGTTTTTTGCCCTGGTGAAGGGAGTTGGACTGCATGGCCTTCAGGCAGCATTTCTCAATCTGGGAAGTCAAGACCCCGTGGGTCACCAGGGGGTTGTCAGAAGAGTCACCAAAGATCACCAGAAAACCCAGTATTTTCTGTTGGTCATGGGGGTTCTGTGTGGGAAGTTTGCCGCAATTCTGACCTTGGTGGGGTTCAGAATGCTCTTTGATTGTAGGTCAACTACAAATCCCAGCAACTACAACTCTGGAATGCCAAGGTCTAGTTTCCCCAACTCCACCAGTGTTCACAATTGGGCATATTGAGTATTTGTGCCAAGCTTGGTCCAGAGCCATCATTGTTTGAATCCACAATGCTCTCTGGATGTAGGTGAACTACAACTCCCAGCAACTACAACTCTGGAATGTCAAGGTCTATTTTCCCCAACTCTACCAGTGTTCACAATTAGGCATATTGAGTATTTGTGCCAAGTTTGGTCCAGATCCATCATTGTTTGAATCCACAATGTTCTCTGGATGTAGGTGAACTACAACTCCCAGCAACTACAACTCCCAAATGTCCAGGTCTATTTCCCCCAAACTCCACCAGTGTTCACAATTGGGCTTATTGAGTATTTGTGCCAAGCTTGGGCCAGATCCATCATTGTTTGAGTCCACAATGCTCTCTGATTGTAGGTGAACTACAACTCCAAAACTCAAGGTCAATGCCCACCAGTATTTTCTGTTGGTCATGGGAGTTCTATATGCCAAGATTGATCCAATTTCACCATTGGTGGAGTTCAGAATGCTCTTTCGTTGTAGGTGAACAATAAATCCCAGCAAGTACAACTTCCAAATGACAAAATCAATCCCCCCAACCCCACTAGTATTCAAATTTGGGCGTTTTGGGTATTGGTGCCAAATTTGGTCCAGTGAATGAAAATACATCCTGCATATCAGATATTTACTTTACAGTTCACAACAGTAGTAAAATTACAGTTATGAAGTAGCAACAAAAATAATTTTATGGTTGAGGGTCACCACAACATGAGGATCTGTATTAAGGGGTCGCGGCATTAAGAAGGTTGAGAACCACTGTCCTAAAGGGAAAAGGGGGGATACATTTGGAATTTAAGATGGAGGAGGATGGGGCGGGGCACAATGACTTTAAAGTCAGTCTAGGAAATCTCTAGCTGCTCCTAGACTCAAACTCCCATCGGCCTCAGCAAGAATGGTCAATTGCTAGAGAGACCTAGGATTCCTCACACTTATTTCAATGTCTCCTATACCAGAGAACGTTAAGCCTAGCTGAGCCCTTCCATGATTAGCTGCAAGTAAAAACAGCCATGAGCAACAGTTGGGGATGCTTACCTCTTGCGTGACGTGAACCTGTTGAAGCCCTTGCACCGCCAGCTGTTGCACTGAGCTGGCTTTGGGAGCGGAGGAGGTCGTCTGCACAACGGATCTCTGCAGAGTGAAACAAACCAGAACCTATCAGAGCCATTTGGGAGGCCCAAAAGACAAAAGGGTTTCTTTCCCTGGCTTAGGAAGGGGTAACCATATAATCACTTTTCCTAATAGTTCACCAAAGAGAACAAAACAGGTTCTGCTAGTTTCTTGGAAATTAGAGAATTCTTTTATCTACCCTTTGAGAGGCACACATTTCAGTGAAAGAGGTCGTCCATACTCAGGAGTCAAGGCTGAGTTCTATCCAATTTTCCCATCTCCACATTCTATCAGATTGCATCAGAGTATTTATAAATCTTAGACCTAAAACACACCACTTTCCCAAAGGTTGTTAGTTTTCAACCTTGTACCATCTAAGATACACACTATCATGTCAGCAAGCTTCCACTGTTTGTGCTGTCCTCATGAACTGAATTACTCTGGTCAAGTTTCTGCAAATTTACTTCCTACCTCAAGTGGGGCATAAAGATCTCCCCAATTTCGAGGAGGCACTGTGTGAGCTGAAGTGGGGGTAGAGAAGTGGGGTAAGTTTAAATTGGTAGGTTAGACTCTGTAGTTTTCACTACCCATCATAAGTCGGATCAGTAAACATCAGGGCTTTGTTGCTCAGGCATGTTATGAGAGCAACCATCTATGTTAATAGTGCAGAGAGCATGCCGTACAGTCTTTGCATTCAGTCGAAACACATCTGTACCAAATTGGAGAACCATTTTGCTAAGAATTTCTAATCTTCGAGCAACTAGGCAGATGGTGATGAATTTGTGATTTACCTTGACGAACTGGTTTTATGTAATTCTTGATCTGTATTTTAATGTGTTTTAATGTATTAATGTAAGGTAAAGGTAAAGGTTGTCCCCTGACATTAAGTCCAGTCATGTCTGACTCTGGGGTGTGGTGCTCATCTCCATTTCTAAGCCGAAGAGCCGGCGTTGTCCATAGACACCTCCAAGGTCATGTGGCCGGCATGACTGCATGGAGCGCCGTTACCTTCCCACCGGAGTGGTACCTATTGATCTACTTGCATTTGCATGTTTTCGAACTGCTAGGTTGGCAGAAGCTACTGCTGACAGCGGAAGCTCACACCGCTCCCCAGAATCGAACCTGCGACCTTTCGGTCAACAAGCTCAGCAGCTCAGTGCTTTAACCCACTTCGCCACTGGGGGCACCTTGTATTAATGTACTATGATGTTATTACTATGATGTTTTTATGCTTTAGTTTATTTGTATACTGATTCTCTGTTGTTAGCCGGCCTGAGTCCCTCCTCGGAGGTCGAGAAGACCGGGTTATAAAAGCTCTAAATAAATAATAAATAAATAAACTAGATCCACACTGAAAAGAAAATCCATGGCAGACCTAGGACTGTTAGAAAGCCAGCAAATATGGAAGCATTAAGAGCATCCACACAGTAATTGTCAAGACTCAGAAGCATGCCATGGTGCTGGGGCTATCAAGTCAGAGTTTGAGGAAGATTCTAGATGCTGAATTAAAACTGCATCCTTAATAATAATAATAATAATAATAATAATAATCCTTTATTTGTACCCCGCTACCATCTCCCGCAGGACTCGGTGCGGCTTACATGAGGCTGAGCCCAAAGTACATCATTAGCAAAACACAACAACAACAATACAATGCAAAAATAAATAACTTATAACTTACAAAAGGATTTGTCTGATATGACTTTTAAAAACCAATTAAAACAAATTTGTTTTTATGTACTTTTCAGAAATATATATAATATTTTTCTAGAAAGCTTTGTTTATTTTTTATACCCCTTCAGAAAGTGGAAGATCTTTATGCCCTACTCTGTATAATAAGCTCAGCACAACTTGACACTATGTGCATAGTAAGGTCCCTTCCCATAGGAAACCTGTTCAAATCTAAAGGACCACTTGCTGGCAAAAAGGACCACTTCCAGGCAAAAAAAAATCTGGAAGTGAAAAACAGTTCAGATAACCCAATAGCATAAAGCAAGCTAAATAAGATATGCTAATATGAGGATGCAATTCTGAACGTATGAGTGTGTGTGTATATATATACACAAGAGTATGCAAAATAATTATTTAATCTGTTACACATTGAAGTGGTACTCCCAAATCTCACATGGAAAATACTCTATTTATGAAAATCAGAGATACCAAAAAAAAAAAAAACCACCCTCTTTGTTCAACAATCAAAACTACAGACTGTTTTACAAAAGCACATTGAATATTAGCAAAACACAGAAATATAAGCACATAAAAACTTCCATTTTGAGTAATGTAAAATGAAACAGGGAGAGGCCACAGTCTGACAGACAGATGTTTTCGCCTCTATCTGGAAGTTTCACAAATCTGGACACAGGTGCGACAACTCAACAGCAAAATAAAAGGAGTATGTTGTGCAGCACAGAACTACCTTTACACAAATATCAAAATGAGAGGCTAGCTGAAAGGCAATTAATACATTTTTCCATAACACTTCAAAATTGTTAGCAGATGGTGACTAAAAAAAACCTTTGAAGTGTCATACTTAACAGGCTTGAGCTCTTTTCACCCCTAAATCTGGCTACATTACTGGGATTTGCGGGGGGGGGGGGGGTTACTGCTTGAAAACATACAGCACCTCTTGTGCAACAGGCACTTGCTGGACTCCGTGGAGCTGGAGCTGCTGTACTTGTCCCGGTTTAGCGGCAGAGCTGCTGTTCTGGACGGGGGAGTGCTGAAAGGCAAGGAGGAGGACTTTACCCTCTGAGGATGGACAGAGGAGAAAGACACAACGGGTCCCCTTTCACAATGCATGCTCAGGCTTAGCTGGAAATCACACAGGTCCCTCCCTCCCCATCATGGAGTAATCGCCTTTTCAAAACGATCTCTATACGACCTCAACGTCTGTTTAATTAACACTTCACTCATTAAAGGGAAGGAGGGAGTTGCTGTTGCTGGTTTACAACTAATGAAATGAGAAGTAACCTCCTGTAAAGCAGCTTAGAAGTACCTTTTTCCTAAGTCTGATGATCCTAACATCAAAGATTGAGTAGGCTTTCATGGCCAGAATCACTGGGTTGTTGTAGGTTTTTTCGGGCTATATGGCCATGTTCTAGAGACATTCTCTCCTGACGTTTCACCTGCATCTGTGGCAAACATCCTCAGAGGTAGTGGAACTAGGAAAAAGGGTTTATATATCTGTGGAATGACCAGGGTGGGACAAAGGACTACTGTCTGTTGGAGCTAGGTGTGAATGTTTCAACTGACCGCCTTGATTAGCATCAAGGCAATCAAATGCTAATCAAGAAGGAAACTAAAAACATGGATATGGGACCAGGCCTTGGGTAATCTGGCAGACAGACAAAGGACAATGACGACTAGAATTCGATAGGATTATGACAATGCGGAATGAACTTACGGATTTTGAGCTTGGCGAACGTTGATCACTAAATTGGTTTTTTATTAGTTGTATTGTATAACTGGATTGTTTTAATTATTTTATAATTGTTGCTGCTATGTATTTTATCTTACTATGTGTATTGCTGGCATCGAATTGTGCCTTTTGTAAGCTGCCCTGAGTCCCCCTTCAGGGGTTGAGAAGGGCGGGGTAGAAATGCTCAAAATAAATAAATAATAAATAAGGTGGTCAGTTGAAACATTCACACCTAGCTCCAACAGACAATAGTCCTTTGTCCCACCCTGGTCATTCCACAGATGTATAAACCCTTTTTTCTAGTTCCAACAGACCTCACTACCTCTGAGGATGCTTGCCATAAATGTAGGCAAAACGTCAGGAGAGAATGCCTCTAGACCATGGCCATATAGCCCGAAAAAACCTACAACAATCCAAAGATTGAATATTTTGAGATCCCTATGTCAATTTGCATCCATTTTACACTCGAGGTGTGCTAATGCTCTTGGGTAATTCACTTTAAGACAAACATGCAGGACTCTACATAAACAGCTTGAATTGTCCTTTGGGCAACACAGAGAAAACACTAGGTGAGTATTCTGGTCTTCCAGAACATTAGCTGTCCAACCATCGTATTTAAATAATATGATGCAAAGATGCTCACGTGACAGACAGGTTGCAAGGCTGCTAAATTAAACATAATTGACAAGACAGACATATTTACAAGACAGCTATTGCAACTGTTGTTCTGAATGAAAAGACTTGGTGGCTAACCCATCACTAAAAACCAAACAAACTGCAAGACAACTTAAAGGTCCAAGTGTGCACCTTCAAGTTTATCAAACAAATTACAACTAATTTTTGTTGCCCAAAAGCATTAGATTTATGAGATGAGAAGGAGATTATAGGTATTTGTATGAAATTATAGAGATATTTAGAAAACTCATTTTTTACATCGGTCATGTTGACAGATATCAATGCATTCAGTAATCAATATACCGTATATACTCGAGTATAAGCCGACCCAAATATAAGCTGAGGCACCTAATTTTACCACAAAAAAATGGGAAAATGTATTGTCTCGAGTATAAGCCGATGGTGAGAAATGCAGCAGCTACTGGTAAGTTTCAAAATAGAAATAGATACAAATAAAATTACATTAATTGAGGCATCAGTAGAGTAAATATTCAAAAATATTTACATAAAATTGTAATTTAAGATAAAACTGTCCAACTCTGATTAAACCATTATTCTAACCTTCTTCAATGTAAATGTGCTTACATATCCTTCCTATAACAATAAAGGGAGTAGAATAATAAATGTAATAAAAATAATAATAGAGTAAAATAATGGAAATGTAATAACAGTAATAAGAGAGTAAAATAATAAATGCAATAATAAAAATAGAGTAAAATAATAAATGTAATAATAATAATAATTAGAGTAAAATAATAAATGCAATAAAAATAATACTAATAACAGAGTAAAATAGTAAATAACATTGACTCGAGTATAAGCCGAGGGGAGATTTTTCAGCCTAAAAAAGGGGCTGAAAAACTAGGCTTATACTCGAGTATATACGGTATTATTTCCAGCTTCTTGCAGCAGTCCCAGAATACTTTAAATATATTTGTTTATCTATTCATGATCTGAGGAAGGGAAGCTACAAGATAAAATCACTCTACATAAATGCATCCTGAAAATGGAGATACCACATAAAAGTTTGTCATTTACTGAAGGAATTCATACAATTTCAGGTTTAACTATTTCAATGTAGTTCAAAGGCAGCACAAAATATAATGTCACTATAATTAACAACATATTCAAATGTTAAAAGAAGCATCACAGATAAAATCACCACAGCGATTTAAGGATGAGGAGAAAGTAAAAAGGTTTCTTCCTGGCACCTCAAAGAAAGCCATATTCCTCCCTACATGAATTATTAAGGCACAGAAATCCACAAGAGGCATCGCTGTCAAAAAAAAAAATACAGAGCTGGGATATTGGGAAATGCAGTACCTCAGGAACCTGGACCTGAGCAAAGTGAGGGTGGAAAAAAAAAGACGGGGAATGTGTAGCTTCCCATATATTCATCGATGAAAGGGACCATCAGTCCTAGCCTGTATAATCAATGGTGAGACGGCATGCTTATCAAGTTTGCAGATGACACCAAATTAGGAGGGATAGCTAATATTCCAGAAGATAGGATTAGAATTCAAAACTACTTTAACAGATTAGAAAGTTGGGTCAAAACTAACAAAATGAATTCCAAAAAGGAGAAGTACAGGTTGGCTTACCTGTACCTGTATTTCTTCGAGTGGTTACCTGTGAATTCATATAATTGGGTGGGTAATCTGCGCAGGTGCAGCGCACTGTTCAGAACCTTCTAGAATCACTAGGCAGAAAAGTTTTGGCAGTAAAATTTTGGCACCCACCATCCCAAGGCTATATAAGACCAAGTTGTTGCTGAAACCCCTCAGTTCCTAGGCTGCAACTACAGTCCCGTATTGAGATCTGAGATGGCATGACCCCTGTGTGCGAAGAATGGGCGGGATGAAATACAGTTACAGGTAAGCAACCTGTTCGTGTCCTTTGTCTTCATGGTCTCTGTGAATGACACAATTGGGTAACTAGCAAAGCATAAGTTATTGGAGGCAGGAGTCATGCCACACAACAGACCATCACCTTTGGTACAAAACCAACAAGGTTTAGTCAGTGTGAATGATGCACCCATAATGATGTAAACCACACAATGAAAGAATGTGGACTGTACCACACAAGACATGTACAATCACCAAGATTTGAAGTCAATATATCACGAAATGTATACATGAATATGCTTTGGTAAAGTTATCCAAAATACAATTGTGAAAAAATGTCATCTGATTCTTTGTGTGACCATAAAGAAGAAATGTAGGATACTACACAGATTGAAAAAAAAATGAAATGTACAGATACAGGATGGGTAACATCTGGCTCGACAAGAGTGCATGTGAAAAAGAGATTGGAGTCAAGATGACCATGAGCCAACAATGTGATGCTGTAGCTAAAAAAGCTAATGAGATTTTGGGCTACATCAAAAAGAGTATAGCATCTAGATCAAGGGAAGTGATGGTGCCCCTCTATCCTGCTTTGGTCAGACCTCACATGGAATAACACTGTGCCCAATTCAAGAGAGACATTGACACTCTGGAGCATGTCCAGAGGATGGGAACTAAAAGGATCAAAGGTCTGGAGACCTTGTCCTATGAGGAGAAGCTTAAAGAGTTGGGTATGTTTAACCCGCAGAAGAGAAGGTAGAGAAGATATATGATTGCCATGTTTAAATATCTGAAAGGATGTCATAAAGAAGAGGAAGCAGGCTTGTTTTCTGCTGTCTTGGAGACTAGGGCTCAATTGAGCAATGGGTTCAAATGACAGGAAAGGAGATTCCACCTGAACATTAGGAAGAACTTCCTGATTGTAAGAGCTGTTCAGTAGTGGAACTCTGTGCTTCAGAGTGTGATGGAAGCTCATCCCTTGGAGGCTTTTAAGCAGAGGCCATTTAGCCATCTGCCGGGGTGCTTTGATTGTAATTTTCCTGCATGGCAGGAGGTTGAACTGGATTGTCTATGTGGTCTCTTCCAACTCTATATGATTTTATGATTCTAATATCTGGCAGCCCACACATTCTCCCTATACAACATTAAAGCACTGTTTGTACTGACAAATTATATTTTCAAACACACTGCCTCCAGTAAGGATTTTATTCTTAGGTAAATTATATTTCTGGGCACTGGTGAAATCTATTATGGAAGACACGATCGCATGAGTAACTGTGGCTAGGCTATCTATGCCAAGGTGAAATTGAAATGCAACCCCTAGCTGAAGCACCAGCTAATGCCAGGAACGACACCGCAAAAATATTTCCATCTTCTCCAGAGTAAGCCTCAGTTTTGTGACACTCACTAAGTCTATTACTGCCTTCTATGAATCTGCATCGCACTTTTTAATCCCAAAAAGTCTCTAGAGATTCAGACTAGAAAAATGCCACAAGACTGCATATTTCATATGCACAAGTCACAATACACCAAGAAAATAAAATAATCAATCAAAAAGTCCACAAATTCAAATCCAGCCTTTTAAAAAGCCCACTATCCATCTCTATATCATTTATATCATAAATATGAAGAGTTTAAAGGAAGAGTTGTGTAAATCCTTTTCAGGTCAAAGTCAAAATTCCAATTTGTGAACTGTCTAGGGGCTATGTTGTAGCATGGGGAATGACTATGGATATTATCAAAGCAAAATGGGTGAAATGAGATGTCAGTCTTACCCATTTGCTCCACTATAACATTTTTTTCAAGCATGCTAAAGCTTGCCATTTGCTCAATAAAAAGCCTTAATATTCTTAAAACTTTAAAAAGTCAATAAGATGAGCTCTGCTTTGTAAAGAATTCCCTAAATCAGTATTTTATTTTGTTAAAGTTGCCATGAGTTCTGTGCTGGAAGAAAAATGAGATAACAAAAATTTAAACAAAAACAAATGCATAAATACAAAGAGCAAAGAAGAAATGGACATGTGCTGCAGGAAGCAGGTTTTGGCTAGAGGCCAAAAGCAAGTGGCAAAAGCAGCTGGAAAACTGTCAGGGAAGAGAAGCAGGAAAGTCAGTTATTGTTTACTCCACTTCCCTTTGTCCTTATTGTAGGAGGTCATGATCAAGAACCTTGCACTCCCTGTAGACCTGAAAAATTATAAACAAGTCTTAGATCATCCTTATATCCTCTTAATGAACCACCCGATATCTGCTGATTAGGTGGACACCACTATGTAACACCCCCTGAACTTCATCGGCAGTGCTTATTTAGCAAAACTAAAGTGAATACCAAATCACCTTGTCTCTCTCCTGAGGAATCTGTACAAGGACCAAGTAGCAACAGTAAGAACTGATCATGGAACAACAGACTGATTCAAGATTGGGAAAGGCACATGGCAGGGTTGTATACTCTCACTCAACCTATTCAACTTGTATGCCGAACACATAATGTGATGTGCGGGGCTTGATGAATGCAAGGCTGGGGTTAAAACTGCTGGAAGAAACATTAACAATCTTAAATATGCAGATGATACCACTTTGATGGCCGAAAGAGAGGAGGATCTGAGGAGCCTTCTAATCAAGGTGAAAGAAGAAAGTGGCAACCAGACTGATTGATAACTGGCAAATAGAGGGAGAAAACGTGGAGGCCCTGACAGACTTTGTATTTCTAGGTGCAAAAATTACTGCAGATGCAGACTGCGGCCAGGAAATCAAAAGACGCTTACTTCTTGGGAGGAGAGCAATGTCAAATCTCGATAAAATAGTGAAGAGTAAAGACATCACACTGGCAACAAAGATAATAATATAATAATAAAACGTTATTTGTACCCCGCTACCATCTCCCGAAGGACTCGGTGCGGCTTACAAGAGGCCGAGTCCAAATACAACAATAAAACAGCAGCAACAACAACAACACGATAACTCAAAAAAAAAAAGCAATAACAATTAACAACACCCAATGACGCAATTAAAAACAATGGCCGGGCCAAATGTAATAATTAAAATTAAAAGTGCTGGGCATGACAAGGTAGGATGTTTGGAGGGGGATGGGCATGCAGATATCCTGGATCTCTGATAAAGTGCGTTGGGACGTAATGCTAGGAGTTTCCTTATTCTGGAAAGGCACACTGGAACAACCACGTTTTCAAGCTCCTCCTAAAGATTGCTAGCGACGGGGCCTGCCTGATGTCCTTAGGGAGAGAGTTCCAGAGTCGAGGGGCCACCACCGAGAAAGCCCTATCCCTCGTCCCCACCAATCGCGCTTGCGATGCAGGTGGGAACATGAGCAGGGCCTCTTCAGATGAACGAAGAGATTGTGCATACTTAAAGCAATTGTATTCCCCATAGTCACCTACGGATGTAAGAGCTGGACCTTAAGGGAAGGCTGAGCAAAGGAAGATAGATGCTTTTGAACAGTGGTATTGGAGGAAAGTTCTGAGAGTGCCTTGGACCGCCAGAAGATCCAACCAGTCCATACTTCAGGAAATAAAGCCCAACTGCTCATTGGAGGGAAGAATAATAGAGGCAAAGATGAAGTACTTTGGCCACATCATGAGAAGAAGCATAAAGAAGACAATGATGCTGGGGAAAATGGAAGGAAAAAAGGGGCTGACCAAGGGCAAGATGGATGGGTGGTATCCTTGAAGTGACTGGCTTGACTTTGAAGGAGCTGGGGGTGGTGACGGCCGACAGGGAGCTCTGGCATGGGCTGGTCTATGAGGTCACGAAGAGTCGGAAGTGACTGAACGAATAAACAACAACAACAAAGTGAATTCAGCTCAATGAACAGAACCCACAGTGTCCCCTTAGTCCCGAAATCTTGGTAACACTTTCAGCCAAACAAAGGCCAGTCTGAAAAGCAATACTTACACTTCAGATTCTTATTAGAAAGCCAGATGAAACACAAGAATATTGATTTGTCTGAAAAAGTACGTGAGCAGGCAAATAAGGAAACAAGCACTGGGGGGGGGGGGGATTCAGATGAAGAAGCAAACACCAAAACACAGTGATGGCCAAACTACAGTTTATTTGCTCATGATGAATGGAAGATCAAAGCATGCTTTCCCCAAACCTTCCAGGTCTGAACTTCTGGCCACCCACCTCAGGTGAAGAGTGGACCTGCTGTACACCGTGGACGGCCAACGCGACCGGTCCTCCTTTACTAGCTTGTGAAGTACTCTGCACCACCAGCCGCTGAAACAGGATGACACAAAAGAAGTATGCCCCGGTTAATTGTCACATCTCCAGAAGAAGCATGCCAAGATGAACCAGCTTTGGGGAAGTGAGGTGAGTTTGTGGGTTGTTAAGAAACAACTCATTTAGTCAGACACTGCCTGTCTGACTATGTGGCAGATTACATTAGAAATCATCCTTCACTTGATAACACTTAATGGAGGCAGTCTCTCGAAGTGGCTTGCATACAGGACTGGTCCATGGCATTTTGATACCTCAGACAAAAATCATATCAGCTGATGAWRCGTGCACCCATTGGAAAGTTATTCTACACTAGCCATCCCCTGCCAYGTGTTGYTGTGRCCCAGTCTGTGTATATGTGTTTTGTGTGTGTATATATTTGTGTATATTGTGATTTTATATTGTTTTGTGTGCCTATTTTGTACTGTTTTTTTTGTTATTTTCATTATATTTTATTGATGTATTTTTATGCTGTTTTACTATTATTATTATTATTATTATTATTATTATTAAACTTTATTTGTACCCCGCTARCATCTCCCGAAGGACTCAATGCGGCTTACAAAGGCCAAGGCCTCAACACAACAACAGCATAACAAATACAACTCAAAGCAAAATCAAAAAACATAAAGMAATAAMCAACAAAACATTACATCATAACACAGTAAAAACTAGGGCCGATCCAAGTAATGGGTACAGATTAAAAAGTGCTGGGTGTGACAGGTGGCATGTTGGATTTCAGGGCAAGTGCAATGTGCAGAGAATCTTAAAACTCTAGTAAAGTGCTGCTGGGACATAATGCTGGAGTTTTCCTATTCCRGAAAGGCACATCGGAATAGCCAGGTCTTCAAACTCTTCCTAAAGACTCCCAACGTGGGTGCTAGTCTGTATATTTGCTTTGTTGTGATTGTTGGGCTTGGCCTCATGTAAGCTGCCCTGAGTCCTCTTGAGGAGATGGTGGTGGGGTATAAATAATGTTATTTATTTATTTATTATATGTGTATATATGTTTATGTGTATATATTTGTGTATATGTGCCTATATGTGTGATTGTGTGTGTGTGTGTATGGTGTTGTGCATGCCTTGTAATGTATTTTATATTATTATTTTTTGGCTTTTAAAGTCCCTTCTGTTGTATTTTTCAGTGTTTTTATGAGTGATGATCACTCGTTGGCCTGATTGGTGTATTGTGCCCAAATATGGTGTCAATTCGTCCAGTGGTTTTTGAATTATGTTAATTCCCCAAACGAACATTACATTTTTATTTATATAGATTTATTTATTTATTTTTGTCGTGTCAGGAGCATCCTGTTGTGAGAGAATTGGCCGTCTGCAAGGACGTTGCCCAGGGGACGCCTGGATGATTTTTGATGTTTTATCATCCTTGTGGGAGGCTTCTCTCATGTCCCCGCATGAGGAGCTGGAGCTGATAGAGGGAGCTCATCCTCCTCTCCCCGGATTCGAACCTGTGACCTGTCGGTCTTCAGTCCTGCCGGCACAGGGCTTTAACCCACTGCGCCACCGGGGGGTCCATATTTATATAGATAACCCCATTAGAAAAAGCTGGTATTGTACAAATGAACCATCCATGCCCTTGAATTGTTCCTGTTTTTTGGCTGTGAAGCTCCTTGGACCAGCCCTATTCATCAACTCCTCACAATTCCAGTCCAAACAGCTAACCTCACCTTATGTCATAGTAAGCTGGCTCTGTTTATATTAGCACTGGTCTTTTCACACAGACACAAACCTTGAAAATAAAACATTATTTCTTTCTTAGGAATAGCAGGTGGACTAGAGTGACAGCTTGGACTGACTATGTACTACTGTACATTGAAACTATCAGAAGATTTTTCCACTGATTTCTTCAGCAAGACGTGGTCTCGCCAATATATAGTAAGCTGTGTTATAGTTTTTACAGCACATAAGTAAAAGAAGAGTCTTGTTGGATCTGACCAGGGATCCATGCAGCCCAGTCTCCTGCTACCTGTCGACCTGCAAAGTTCACAAGCAAGGCATGAAAGCAACAATCTTCCCTCACACCCAGGAAACCATGGTATCCTTCAGTTATCACAGCTAATGGACCTCTCCCTCAGATCTTTTATTAATACAACTTAAGCCAAATCTTCTGTGTTCCGTAAGCACTACCTTGATTTAAAGTAGGTAAACAAAAGACTTCTATTTGAATGGAAAGCAAGCTGCTCAAAACTGAAGTGGATCCACACATGTCAACGAGACATCAGACTGAGGTTCACTCTGTGGACTACCACATTGCTACAGCCAAAGAAGACAATGCGAGTAGATCAACTGAAACTGGTACAGATGTCTTTTAATAATAACATTAGTAATGGTAAAGGTTTCCCCTTGACATTAAATCTAGTCATGTCCAACTCTGGAGGGGTAGTGCTCATCTCCATTTCTAAACTGAAGAGCCAGTGTTGTCGTAGACACCTCCAAGGTCATGTGGCCAGCATGACTGTATGGAGCACCGTTACCTTCCTGCAGAAGTGGTACGTGTTGGTCTACTCACATTTGCATGTTTTCGAATTGCTAGGTTGGCAGAAGCTGGGACTAACAGGGGATCTCATCTGCTCCCTGGATTCGAACCACCGACTTTCCGGTCAGCAAGTTCAGCAGCTCAGAAGTTTAACCCACTGTGCCATCAGGAGGCCAATAACATATTTTTAAAATAATGGTTTTGAGAAACCAGTTAGATCTCCATCGACCACTGTTAAGAGCTTAGGTGTCATCCTGGATTCACAGCTGACAATGGAAGCTCAGGTCGCTGCTGCCAGCAAACAGGCCTTTTTCCATCTACGACAAGTGAGGCAACTGGCACCCTACCTATCTGACGAGGCTCTGGCAACTGTCATCCATGCCACGGTCATGTCTAGGCTGGACTATTGCAATGCCCTGTATGTGGGCCTTCCGATGTCTATGACCCGAAAGCTTCGTATGTTCAGAATGCGGCAGCCAGGTTACTCACAAGAACGCCCATGAAATGCCATATAACACCAGTGCTGCAACATTTACATTGGCTTCCAACTGAGTACCGTGGCCTGTATAAGATGCTAGTTCTGACCTTTAAAACTCTTTACGGCCAGGGTCCATCGTACCTTAGGGACCGCCTCTCCTTCTCCCATCATCGGAGGTCGCAACAACCAGCCCAACGTGACTTACTCCATATACCGGGTCCTAGAGAAGTGCACTTGGAAAGGACCAGACGCAGGGCTTTTTCTATTTCTGCCCCTGCCTTGTGGAATTCCTTGCCGCCCTACATGAGAGCCATGCGTGACTTAGGGCCTTTTACTCTCGCACTTAAGACCTGGCTTTTTACTAGAGCATTCGATCTCTGTTAATTTTTAATTTTTGTATGTATGTATTTTATCTTTTATAATTTAGCTGTAAATCGCCTAGAGCATTCTCGGATGGAGGGTGATTAATAAGTTATTAAATGATGATGATGATGATGATGATCTGCTCATATCACTTCATACAGTTTCTGCTTTCTATCTGATTTGCTTCACCTTGCTACCTAACTTAATATTATTGAAACAGGAGAACTGTGCTTCCTCTGTTCTGAAGACCAGTGTGTTCTTGCTTCCCTAATCCCACCTCTGGGAGTCAGCTGGATTCTTGTCCTCTTGGGAGGAAAAAAACACAGGACATAACATTGTGTTGAGTGCTATTCTTTTTATACTCAGATGTCACTAGTAAATGCGAATGTTGTCAGCTGGCCTTGGGAAGGAATAAGAGCAGGATGTTCAGTAACAGATGCAAAAGAGGACAGTGCTTAGAGGAGAGAGAGGAAGCTACAGAAGAGAAGTCTAGAAAAGCTTTTCTATGATCATATGCAAATCATGAACTCTCTTACAGTTTAGAGAGAGGTTCTTAGAACAATGTCATTTGAAAAGCACTCTCAGGCTAAAGCCATAGCTATTGTTTTTGCTGACTTTTGGAATTACCTACCACCTGCAGTCTTGAACTCAAGCATTCAGAGATGTGAGTTCAATGGACAGATTGCACCAGTGATGTCTTTTTTGAGAATATCTTTTTTGATTACACTCTATTATCAAACTTACAAATCTAAGTGCAGTAGAAAGAAGATCTGGACCAAATCAAAGTTTGTTTTTTGGAACTTTTTAAAAAATATTTTCAAGCCATGGATGGTTGAATCTGTGGATACAGAATCCATGGATATGGAGGGACGACTGTAGTTTACATAATAAAACCCAAAGGACTGGGGCTGTCACTAGGTTCCAATAATCGATTTAATACATAATCTATATAAATAAAAAATGTAATGTTCGTTTGTGGGATTAACATAATTCAAAAACTACTGGGCAAATTGACACCAAATTTGGACACAATACACCAATCTGGCCAACGAGTGATTGCCACTCCTAAAAACACTGAAAAACACAGCGGGGAAAAACGTAAAAAAAAAAAAAACAACCCCCCCCCAATACATTACAACTCATGCACAAAACCACATATATACACATATACACACACATATATATACACACACAAAACACATATACGCAGACTGGGCCACAGCAATGCGTGGCGGGGGACGGCTAGTATATAAATAAAAACGTAATGTTCGTTTGTGTGATTAACATAACTCAAAAACCACTGTACGAATTGACACCAAATTTGGACACAATACACCTATCAGGCCAACGAGTGACCATCACTCATAAAAACATCGAAAAACACAGCGGAAGGGACTTTAAAAGGCCAAAAAAGCAAAGAGACGCTACAGAGCATGTGCAAAAATGACTCCCCTAGCGAACAAAACACACAATAGCAAATCCACACTCTCTCTAGACTATAGCTCCCAGAATCCCCTAAACCAGCCCCTATAGGAGAGTATGATGATCTAAATGCACTGTTTCCAAGCTGCAAGCTTTCTTCTCCTTGGATTTCTTTGAGAGCATTGCAATCTCTGCGTATTTCCAATTTCCTATTCCTGGAATACAACTCCCAGATTAGGTAGGTAGGTAGGTAGGTAGATCGATCTACCTACCTAGGAGGAT